ATTCCATCATTACTGGTTAAAATCATCATCACCATTATTTACCAATCAATAATAGTCCCATCAATAATAGATGTCCCATACTATCTATGTGATACGGTGGGTCAACAGTATCAATCATTAATAATCCCATGTAAACCCCCCATATGGTTATAGTGTTCCAATAACCGATAAAATCTCTGACGACATCTGGGTTTTGATTCTAGCGACCCCAGCTGACCGATGGATTTTTGGGGTTTTTCGACGAGGGAAATCATCCCGAACTCATCTGGTTTTGGAAATAACGATTACCAGAGGGTACCTTTGGGTTAATGGCTTAGTGGTGGATGGGTAGTGGCTTAATAATGGTTCAGATTGGATATTTAATGGGATTTAATGGTGATTGAATGGTTTAATAATAGCTTAATAGTGGTTAATGATGGTTAATGATGGATAATAGTGGAATATCTGGTGGATTTAATGGTGATTAGGATAGCTATTGAATTAGTTAATGGCTTGATTCAATTATAAATGGTAATTGTTTTTGGATAATGGTAATGGATTAGGGAAATCAAACTAATCTGTTTTTGGATAATGGTAATTCCCCACCTGCCAGGTGAGGGTTGTTAGATTTTATGTCAGTTGCTTCCTCCTCGTCCTCGTCCTCCTCCTCCTCGTCCTCCTCCTTCTCGTCCTCCTTCTCCTCCTCTTCCTGCTCCACTGCGATCCATGTCAGTGTGTCCTGCCGGACCTCAACCACGACCATCCACGTTCAGTGTGCCCTGCCGGACCTCAACCACGACCATCACCGCCCAGTGTTCCCTGCCGGACCTCAACCGCGAGTATCCCCGCCCAGTGTTCCCTGCCGGACCTCAACCACGACCATCCACGCCCACTTTTCCCTCCCGGACCTCAACCGCGAGTATCCATGCCAAGTGTTCCCTGCCGGACCTCAACCACGACCATCCACGCCAAGTGTTCCCTGCCGGACCTCATGTAGGAAGATAAAATGTCAGATAGAGTGCCAGAAGATTTGCCAGGTAGAATGCCAGAAAATATGCCAGAAGATATGCCAGATAGATATGCCAGAAGATATGCCAGATAGAATGCCAGATAGAATGCCAGAAGATATGTCAGAATATATGCCAGAAGATATGCCAGATAGAATGCCAGATAGAATGCCAGAAGATATGTCAGATAGAATGCCAGAAGATATGCCAGATAGAATGCAGAAGATTTGCCAGATAGAATGCCAGAAGATATGCCAGATAGAATGCCAGAAGATTTGCCAGATAGAATGCCAGAAGATATGTCAGATAGAATGCCAGAAGATATGCCAGATAGAATGCGAGAAGATTTGCCAGATAGAATGCCAGAAGATATGCCAGAAGATATGCCAGATAGAATGCCAAATAGAATGTCAGAAGATATGTCAGATAGAATGCCAGAAGATGTGCCAGTAAGAACATGTATAAATGTCATGGTGGGGATCACACGAAGTAAAGTAATTGTTTTTGGAAATAATGCCATAAACCATCCCCCAGTCATCACCATTTTTATAGGTGGGATTCATTCCCAAATGGGTGGTTTATGACAATGTTTTAACCAAAAATAAACCCATATTAACCACATGTATCCCATCATATCCCATTCTACCAAATTTGTTTAGAAAAGCGTGGTAAATGGACCTAAATGGGGCATGTTTCATTGGGCTCATGGGAATTTCACCCAAAAAAAATCTGGACAAATTGTGTTTTTTTTTGGTGCCAGAAAAGCTTCAAATGGAGCTACAACCAAGAAAAAGGTTAGGATCTGTTGCTTGGGTTTGGAATTAGAAGTTTGAAACAGTATGTCTGATTAGCTAAGTGTGTTCTACGGACGTCACGATTGCCAACGTCGGTTTAGATGATTGCCAGCCCGAAGTCACCGATTTTTGGCGGGCCCAAGTACAGGGCTTTTGACTAATAGTAACCAATCGTATAATATTTGGATTCCATAAATGGAATATAAATGGAATCAAATGTAAATATTTTCTATGGGGTGTAATGGAATGATATCCTATAAATTGGGCAAAAATGATGATTCATGCTGATTCTCTGGTAAGCATGGCTGGAAAGTCCTTCATTTAGTTCCACGATTTTAACGAAAGCTCCATGGCCAACCCGCTCGAAGCTAAAATGACCCCAGGCTTGGGGATTTGACCAACGGCCATGACGAACTGGAACCGATTCATTGGAGGTACTTGCCATATATAAGGCCTATAATATAAGGCCTATGTAAGGCAATATCCCCACAAAAGATGGCTTGAAATATGGTACTACGTAGTTCCATTTTAGGATCCTGAAATTCCCATTGAGATTTGTTTCACATACAGCCGTATCTGTTGGAGATGAAATATCCCCAATATTTGGGTGATGTGAAACATTAGGACATAAAAACCAACCCCTGCCAACGAACATCAATCATTTGATCCACAAACCAGAAATTCAGGTGAATGGCTAGAGTAATGATCATGGTTCTTAACCAGTGGGAGGACGAAGTATCAAATCTTGCCTGAGGCCCGATGAAAAAACCTAATCCACTCTTCAACAAATGTCAAAGTTTCTAGAAAACTTGACTCATGAATGGTTGGTGACCATGCGTTATTGTCTACCTTTCGGCAATCAAACATAGCAATTTTCATCACTTGCTCCATGTTTTCCATGGGTCATAGGCATTCGTCATACACCTATTTTCAAGGGTCAAACGATCACAACCCCATATGTTTCAGACAGGTTGTGGTGAAGAAAACCCACCCCTGCGCGTTGTCGCCGCGCAGGTTGGCCAATGCAGGTGCCAACGCAGGCCTGCTGGGCTGTTTGATTGAAGGCTCTTGTTGTAGTCTGCTGTGATGGTGACTATTGGTTGATGATTGTTGATGATGGTTATTAATGGTTTAGTAGTTTATGGGATAGAGATGGTAGTGTTGAGACTTTAATAGTAGCAAGGGAGCTTTATGTTAAAAATAATTTTATTTATGATTTTTTTAATGATTTTAATATGATTAAATTTATGATTTGGATTTTTTCGATTTTTTCTTTATGAAAAAAATATGATGAAATTTATGATGAAATTTATGTTTTTTTTTTTTCGTTCTGGCATTTTTTATGATTGTTTATGATTTTTTTTTTATGTTTTTTTTTTTTAATTTTTTTTGATTGTTTTTATGTTTTTTTATGATTTTTTTATGATTTTTCTCGGCATGAAAAATCATAAAAAATCATTAAAAAATCATAAAAATATCTTTAAAAATCAAAACATATGATTTTCTGATTTTTTATGATATTTTTTATGATATTTTTATGATTTTTTATGTTTTTTTTAATGATTTTTTTTTAATGATTTTTTATGGTTATTTTTTGTGTTTTTCTACTTTTTTTCTTCGAAACCAAGTGAAACTAAATCATAAATTTCATCATAAAAAAATCATAAATTCAACCATAAAAAAATCATATCTGAAAATTTCCCGTTTTTTCCCGACATAGTGAAATCATAAAAAAAAAAATCATAAAAAAAAACATAAATAAAATTATTTGTATAATTCTTGTTTAAGCTAACGTTTAAAGTCTCAATGGTAGTGAGTAATCTAGTGAATAATCTAGTAATCTAGTGAAGAATCTAATGGTGGTTGAATAATCTATGACAATGGTGAATAATGGTTGATAATAGTGAATAATCTAGTGTGGCTCGCTGGAAAATCTCCATGCAAGGGGGTCTACCTGGGAAAATCATCTATACTGGAGGGTAAGCATCATAAAAAAAAGTGGTTTCAAGAATTTATATCATAAGAAATGGTGACTCAACCACAAGAATAGATCAACAGAGTTGACTATCACATAGATTTGGGTTATAGATATGGGATGAATTGAATAGACCACAAGAATAGATCACAAATGGTTGAGTCATGGTTTAACTATCAGTGGAATTCTCATGGGATGTGTGGGAAAATCATTGGGATGGGCTGACGAGAATGGGCCTTTTGAGCAAAACTTGAGCCAAAATGGCATTGGTGCCTTTCATTGCCGATCATTCTCTCCAGGAAATGCTTTTGCAGTTGATGTTAGCAGATCGCAATCTGCATGTAGCAAACGATGTCCTCAATACCCTGCTCGAGATTGAAGATTACTTAGAGGATTGTGCTGCGCCAGTTGCGCTAGCGACATTGAGGTCGACCATTACCTCCCATCGTCGTACCATTTACCAATTAGCCATTTGGAAGCTCCAAAAGTTGATCCAATTTCAACGATCTCTGAACGAGCATTTCGCACGTTACCACAGTGCACCACTGGTCGACCTTGAATTTTGAAAGTGAAGTCCTTCACAGCTTTTGGCTATGATCAATTGTAGCCTATCCCTGGCCGCTGGCCAGCACCTGCTCGGATAACCCCATGTGTTCAAAAGAAGAGTTTGCGGCTGAAATCACTCATGTGCAATTGCAGTCTTGTTCGTGGTAAAGACTTTGAAATAACTACTGTCGTTACCATTATCACATATTGTCACTATATCCCATTGATTTCTTGAAAATTGGGGCATCCCATTGATGGTATCCAATATCATGGATATTTTACAAATTGATATGTAACATATGTATATGACGCTTGGACCGTCAATTGATATTTTGAATTTTGCATACGATATTGTTTGGGTATCAGTTAGTACAAATGCATCGATACGTATGTGTGCTGTTTAATGTTAGTAATGGTATCTAGGGATCAGATCAGCTGATATACCCTCTGGTAATTTAACATAGCTATTGAAAATCACAATTTAAAATAGGTAAATCAATTATAAATGGGGTATTTTCAATAGCTATGTTAAATTACCAGAGGGTAAATCAAAGAAAGAACTGTGGGTTTCATGATTAAAGTGAAAATGGTTTTTGATGATATACTATCTGTAAGACAAACATGATCATTCCTCGAAAAAATGTGACTTATACTGGTATAAGATGCTAGTTTCCATTTCAAGAACATGTATCATGTGTTGGATATCAGTATATTTTACTCCTAGATCAATACAAAACAACAATAAAATTCATGAACGATCATTCGTTCTCTAGACAACATCATTTGACACTATTTGGAAATCCTTCAATATCAAACAAAAAATAGTCATAAGTAGATAACACATTGATGATATTACAACATTATATATATTCATAGATAATAATTTTGTGCTAAACGATCATATTATTGAGCATTAAGCCAGTATTAGCCAGCTTTACTCAATATTTAAAAATTGAAAATGCAATAAATAGATATTGAATATGTTCCATAGATATGTCCATGAACGTATCGATATTATCTCTGATAACATTATCTGATGAGTAATTTAAGAACAAACTAACATTATCGCCATCATTGCGATAATAGGTTTTAAACATTATCAGTATATCACCATTATTAAACTGTATTGACGTCATTAAACTGTACTATCAGTATATTAACAGTAATAACAGTAATAACAGTAATATGGCAAGTATACTAGCAGTATATTAACAGCATAGTAACAGAATATTAGCAGTATACATTCCCATGACAATATCAATAACATCAGTATATTCACTGTACTATCATTAACAGTATATATACTCATGACAATATCAACCTTTTCATTCGCCATCGTCGCGACGCCGGGTGCGCGAATTTTTTGCGTCAGGCGCCGGCGCCACCGGCTTTGATCATGACTTCGACTACGGAGGGCAAGGCGCGCGAAGCAGGGCGCGGCGTCGAAAAAGATTGTGGGGAACTGGGAAACTGGGAAAAACGATGGGATAAGTAGGGTTAATCCACTGAAATAACCAGGGATATCACCTACTTACTAAGTGGGATGAGCTACCAAGTAATTTTGGATTGACAGTGGCTTGAGAGAAGATGGGATGATATTTGGAATAATCCCTGCTCCCTAATACGAACCCCCCAAATAATAAACGCCCGGATGAGTTTTTGGTATGAAGGGTATTTAGTATTAGGCTGCGAAGCTTCCTCCTAATACTAAATTAAAAACTTGAAATTAAAAAACTAAAATGTAAGGACGGACCCTAATTTCCAAAAACACCCCGGTGTCGACTAGTTTTTATATTATGGGGTGAAACCCTCAAATGGCACCGTCATTTTTAAATTGTTTTCTAAAGAGGGATCAATTAAAAATCAATTTGGCCAATTTGAAAACTCCCAGATTGGAAAACGGACCCTAGTTTTTTTAATATGTGGGGTAAGTTTAGTAGTGGGGAGAAGGGATTGAGGAATCGTTGCTGAGAATTCAAGTGGGATAACCCTTGGGATATATGACAATAAACTTTGGATAATGGTTGTTTGGCAAGAGGTTATAGTGGTTAATAGATTAAATAATAACCACTGTGATTATGGTTATTTGGATAATGGATCATAGTTATAAAAGGTTTATAGTGGTTAATAGTGGCTGACAATGCTTAATTTGATGATTAATGTAACGAGACAGGGTTAATATTGATCCTCACAATTCATAGGAATATGATGAGTACCAGTACCACATGGCGGGATGATAGTAGGATAATAATCATAGTTGATAGTGGTTAATATTGGATGAATAGCGGCGGCGTAATGATTATTATTGGATATTTAGTGGGATACAGCCTCTGGTGTCATGGCTAGCTGGGAAATCTCTATAAAAATGGAGGTTTTAATGATTTTAATGGGAAAATCAACTGAATGATGTATGTTCCATTGCCATGTTTGATTACCAAGGAGTAAAGATCAGGGAAACCACAGGATTTGAGCGATTTGAGCAGCATTTTTTTTGTTTTGCTGGCCCAGTGGTTTTTCAATACCCAATGAGCAAATGAAAAAATAGTCATTGATCGATATAGAATACCAAGGTTCGCTTAAGGCAATGTGTAGTTTTTCCACATGGGAGATCCTCCCTTTAGCGAATCCAGAAGATTTTGTTTTGCTTTTGGGGGCTTGAAGCAAAAGAATAATATTTGAATATACCCCCATTAAGCCCCATCATACTATATCCTATTGTACAGTATCCTATTACATCCAAGTGTACCCCATGTCTATCCCATTTTCCTACTACCCTCTGGTAATTTAACATAACTATGGAAAAATTGGACAATCACCATGTATAGTGGATTTTCCCATGAATAGCATGGTGATTTTCCATAGTTATGTAGACGTTTACCAGAGGTTATATCCCATTAAATCCCATTAAATTCCATTAAATCCCATTAAACCACCATTTTCATATGGTTTTCCTATGGTTTTCCTATGATAATCCCATTATTAAACCACCATTTCACCATATCTCCATGATATCTCCCAAGTCGCCCGATGGCCTCAGGAGGTACGCAGACCCTGGCCGCCCGCGCTGCCGCAGGCTGCTTTGCCAACCTCGCAGGGGCAGGTCGGAGCATGGAGGGCGAGTGGTACAAGGGGAGGCCCCAACAAAAATGGGAAACTCCCCAAACCATAGGAAAACCATAGGAAAATGGTGGTTTAATGGGATTTAATGGTATATACCCTTTGGTTATGACTAACATAGCCATGGGAAATGGCCCATTTATATCCATTTATAGATGGTTTACCTATATGAAAAATGGTGATTTTCCATGGCTATGTTAAATAACCAGATAGTAAATCGTTTGGAGCTATTTCTCCATTTTAACTTGTGGCCGAACTCACAAGAATAGATAACAAAATATCTATAGCTGATTTATGATAAGTTCACGCACATGACTTGGTTAACTGTTGGGTTTATGGGGGGTATAGCGAACTAATGTTTCACTGGGGGACCGCCCCCACCTTGTATCAATTTGGTCATCAACTCATGGCCGGGTGCAACTGATGGATTAAAACCCATGACATCCATATTTGAAAAGGAATCAGCGCCAGCAATTGCAAACCATTATATGGATGGAAATCATGGAAAATCATATGTCCATGTTACAACCCATATTTGATCAGCCAAGAGTCCGTTATTGGAATAGCTACTAGCGGTTACTAGCAAAGATAGATATAGAACCAGTTCGCAACCTGGTTTTTGACGCAAGCCATGTCGAAAAAATTGGTAGTTCCCCCCGGAGGGCAACCATCAAACATCGTGATGTAAGAGACATCTGGGTTTATGACCCCGTGTAGAACAGAGAAAGTGGATTTTAGCAAAAAAATAAAAAACAAAAAAAAAACAAAAACACAAACAGAATCACCAAAAAAACAAATCGACAGGAAGAATCACCAGAAGAAACAAAAAAAACAAGAAAAAAAAACAACAACAAAAAAAAAAAAAACGGCATTTTCCGCAGTTTTTTTCTTGTTTTTTCCTTGGTTTTGGTTTTCTAGTTTGTTTTTTTGTTTGCTCTGGTTTTGTTTTTTTTTGTGTTTTTATGTTTTTTGTCAAACCCTATATTCTCTGTGTTGTTGGACTCATAAATCTGGGTAAATTATAACGACCTCACTGCGACCTCACTGCGACCTCACTATAACCGTAGTTAGAAAAAGATGCATTATCCCCAAATGACCTTATTTCAGGTTAAAAGGTTAATTCCTGAGCACGTCTCCATGGGTAAAGTTCCTTCATTGTATTGGCAAGGCTACACTGCATGGACAACTGGTTTTCAATGCAGACCGGTGTTTGAGAATCAAGTGGAAGTCTACATGACACTTCAGAAGTTTTTTTTGGATGGACATGGAATTCACTGGTTGCCGTCCATTGATTTTCAGGTCCCCAACCAATTATGGTCTGAAGATTTGGAAAGAGGGTTGGAATCCTTTGCAGAACGGAGTCGAAAGATGAAACTGGCAATGCGCAGAGCCCGAACAAAACGTAAGGACCTTTCTCTCATTTGATCCCTCCTCTCAATCAGAGTTGGGACGCATTTCAACGGTGGACATGGGCGGGTTCCTTCTTGCGCTCCGGTTGGGAAGGGATCCAAGAAATCAACGGGTAAGAAGGCCTTATTTCAGGTTAGTGAATTATTATATATAATTTACCCAGATAGAGTTTGATAACAATGGGAGAATAGTGGATAACGCTGGATCATGACCCAATACCCTCTGGCCATCTTTGCTATGGAAAACCAGGATTTTTGATAGGTAAATGGTTGAACCAAATGGGCAAATTTCCATAGCTCTGTTAGTTTACTGGGTGATGTGATAAATCCAACCAACCATTCTATCAAAAGTTCAAGTGTGAATGGACCAAACTCTACGACCTTCAAAAATTTGTACAACCCTGATTTTTTTCGGTTTACCAACCACCGATTTGGTTGGTTTCATTCCCATGTGGGAATTATTGAAGGCCCAATGATTGGGTATTGTCCTACTTATTGGAATGATGTATGATAGCGGCTCTTTTATAGTTGATAATTGGAAATGGGTTCTGATTGTGGCTCCCACATTAAGAATGAATGAGAAAAAACATAAAACATGAACAGTGGGGTTCAAGCTATCAATCAGTTTATGTATCCGTTCCAAGACAGAATACATGATACAAAGGTACGATACAGGTAAGTATTGGTCCAAATTGGGGGTGGTGAATGGTGAAGGCTACCCGTTGGTAAACTGACAGTTTGCTATAGAAATTCAGCATTTTGAATACGTAAATCAACGGACCAAATGAGGTATGTTCAATAGCAAGCTGCAACAAATTACCAGAGGCTTTTAGAGTTGCCAAATATTGCGATTCCCCATGTCTTCAATTTGGTCCATACCATGTATTTCGCTGTCAACATATCGATCCTGTGTCCAACAGGAAACTCCCCAAACCAAGGTTTGATCAGCATATTTTTTTGAAAATGGCAGGAAATTATCATTTTTGTTGTATTCCTGAATTTTCAGACACCCACATCTCATATCACATATATATATATATTCGTATATGTGCTGGGATCAAAACTAAATCTACCGAAGTCAAGAGCAGTCTTGGAGAGGTCTCTGCTTTTGGAAACTTGAACTGAGGCTTGGAAAACGTTAATACATTCTCCAAGAAACGATCACATGTCTGCAACATTCAATACCTAGAACAGCATAAGACCGTCAAAATCTTGCAGGTGCCGCCACGCAATGAATATTCACCGTCTCCATCCATCTCATATATAATGTGATTCATTTATTCATAATATTATACTATGCCATCAAATTTACAATATGTATATTTATATATACACACATTAGGTGTGTATACAATGTGTATATATATATATATATACATAGACAGTAACTTTATTTACTACTGTAATTATATATATATAGTTTTACACATATATATATATACATAATGTTATACATATGTATTGTATCCCCGTTTATATCCCCAAATGCCGCCTTGACCACATGACACGTCGTCAGGTGGCGCTCTGGGCGCAACTGGCAATCAAGGCCGCTGTTGCGTTGTCAGCGAAAAATGCTGGGGTTCACCAACAGAAACGCTAGGAAAATGGTGATAAACCATAGGAAAACCATCGGAAAATTGTGATTTAACCACGATAAATGGTGGATTTAATGGTGACTTTTTATCTTGACAAAACCCAGAGAATCTCTAGGATATGTCACACGATTTCTGAACAGTTTCGGAACCATTTCCTCAGTTGTATTGAAAAGCCTTATTGTGCAACCGTGCGTGTATAATGTGAAACATTGATGTTATCTTTACCCTCTGGTAATTTTAACGTAGCTATTGAAAATGGCCATTTAGTTCGTTGATTTACCCATTAATAAGGGTGATTGTCCATGGTTTTTTGTGTGTTTACCAGAGGCTATATCCCATTATCATCCCATTGTTCATTGTTGAGCCATTGTAACAAACCATCAAAAAATCACCATTAAATCCACCAGACAATCCACTATGAACGATCATTAACCATTGTTAAACCAACCATTTAAATCTACCATAGTGGTTAAATCACCATTTTCCTATATGGTTTTCACGTTGGCTATGAGTCGCTCTTTATATATACGGTCGACCCGAGGCCAATGTTTTTTGACCAGCCATGGGGATTATGGCAGCCATTTACGGTGATATTAGGGATGGTTTATTATTATTGGGTTTACCACATAGGTTTTATAGGTGATATATCTATAGTTAATGGATGTCAATGGGTTTAGTATTATGGGGTTTACCACATGATTTCCCCATTAATGGGTGGTACCAGGCATTCCTATTGGTGATGGCTTCTCTTTTGGTGAATGATGATAGGTTTATAAGCCAATAACTATATGGTTTTATAGGTGATATATCTATAATAGTTAATGGATGTTAATGGGTTTATTATGGCATGGGGTTTACCACACTATTTCCCCATAAATACCACTAATTATATAATTATCTAGGATATAAATCTAGTGGTATTCTTATTTGATCAATTAATGAGATACAATGGCAGAATCATAGATGTCCCAATTTACCATTGGTTGGTTGATGAAAATAGAGGGGTTTCTGAAGGTTTACCCCTTTAACAACAGATTTCTATGATGATAGATGGTATACCAGCTCCCGGCCCCTCTATTTTTACCAAAAGGACGTTACTGGATGGTTTATTATTATTATTATTTTTATTATTATTATTATTTTGGGGTTTACCACATTATTTCCCCATAAATGGGTTGTACCAGCCATCACTAGTGGCCGATTATTTAACGTGTTCTTGAAATTATAAAGCAGTTACCACCAATAATAACTTACATTAGTTTTGCCTTATATTGTTACATACTGTGGATGGTTGCGAAATACTGCACCATTCTTAAATAGTTGGTAAACATCCCATGATTTATAGGTTTTGTACCATCCTTTTGGTGGTGCAGGATTTCGCAGCCATCCACAGTATGGTTACTATCCCTTTATCACAGATGGGCGCGATTCAACCCTACAAGGTGGCGTTTTTGCCAGTTAGAAATGGCTTATCATCCCATGAAAACTAGTTCGATATATCACCAACAAAAACCATAGTGAAACTGGACTCATTGGCACCAGCGATTTAGCTCACTGGGGCACCGACCGTGGGATTCAACCCATCGGCAAGTGCTAGTTGTGCCATGCCAGGAATGGCCGGTATGGCCATGACCGGAGACACCCCGACGGTGCCAGGCATGCACCGAGAGACATGCGAGCCATGAATATTAGCCCTGTTGGTTGATCTCTTTCATCATGAAAATAGGGCGTTGAAGTGTTTTAACATGTTTTAACCATCAAAATATGGAGATATACTTAGTCACTTGGGATATTGTTGATGAATGATGGTTGGTGATTAGTTGGGGAATTTTGCAAACCAATATATGGGAGATTATCATTGGTAATCACAATCCATAATGGGAATTCCTATTAACCAACCACCGGCATGGAATGACAGGTTTTTGAACACTGCTCATGTGTGCCATTAAAAATAGCCTGGTTGATTGGTCTTTAAGTGAAATGGAATTCAAGCGTCAGTTTGAGTGGTCTTGTTGTAGTTTGACTATAAAAATCTGGGGATACAAGTGATAAATGATAAATGATGATTGATAGGTCATGATAAAAAAAAAAGGTTCATAATCCTGGGTTTTTGTGGATTATGATAACCCATAGGTCAACACCTATCAACCACGCAGTATTTCAGATGGGAAAAGCCGGGTTATTTTCTTCATGGCTCGCTGGGAAGCTCACGTGGAATACGTTGAATCCCTGAGTCTGGTGAGGATAAGTTGAGGAACAAAACACTGCTTGTTGGTTTGGAACCATGGATGGTTTGGTATATGGATTGTATATTAACCACTATTAACCATCATTCACCATCATTAACCATCATTCACCATGGAATTTTGAATGACTTTCCATTCAGTTGGGAATGGAAGTTCATCATCCCAACTGACGAACTCCATCATTTTTCAGAGGGGAGGCAAAAAAACACCAACCAGAAACAGATTCGAGGCAAAACAACATCGAGGAAATCTGGTTGGCGGTTTCAAATCTGTTTGCGTTCTGTCCTGGTTGGTGGTTTGGAACTGACATTTTTTATTTCTCCATATATATTGGGAATAGTAACCCCAACTGACGAACTCATATTTTTCAGAGGGGTAGGTATACCACCAACCAGATAGGGGTATACCGGAGGGTAAGCATCCGAAATTGAGATCATTTCATGGCGAACAGTGGGGATTTCTGACTTGAAGATGTGGGCTATATCGGTGTCATCAAACGTGGCTAGCTGAAAAACATCGGGGGATGTTGCCACATTTGATTAACGCGAACCAGCAGAAATTGGGATGGAACCATTTTCAAAGGCTGGACTTAACCAACACGGAGAAAGTAGTTTGGAGCTGTGGTTTTTACTCTGTTCAGTTACCTAAAAAAACATTTCAGTGTTTCCCTTACATAGTTCGGCTAAAATATAGGGTGATGTTCAGTTTTTTCCCTTCAACGATTTCCGGAAGAAAAGATGCTCAGTATCATTAACCATCATTCACAGTAGGGAAGATCATCGCAGTTTACAGGGGCTACAATTGCAATGGCTCTGTGAGAGTAGCTCCTATGGCAATGGCTCAATACGCTTAATTGATGCCCTAAAGTTTCATGCATATTGGATGGGGTGGTCAACTATCAAGAAAGAGTATCCTCTAGTAAACTAGCATAGCTATGGAAAATTGACCATTTATAAAAGATTTACCATGATTTGGCTATTGAACATGGTGCTGTTCCATAGCAAACTGTCAGTTTACGTCAGAGTAGCCATTCCTGGGGCGATTCCTATCCATGGCCGACTTCATCAACGAAGTGGGGAAACCTTGAATGCAGTAGTTTGTACTTTGCGTTAATCATTTGCTAGAAATATGGATATGCGGCGGATGGCTTTCGCTCGCCCTTGTGGTTGTTGGCCTATGCAGAGTCAGGGGTAGTGCTTCAGCTATCGCCAAGAACAAGATCCGAATGCTGAGCGATCAGTCCTGCACGGCTACGCTTGCGGGAGACAATGAAAACGCTCAGTCGACGTTGATAAGGCAGACGATGAGAGCTCCACAGACTCTGAACTTGAGATGATGATCCTGCTGACAATGTAGCGTGGTGTCCGGCGCCGGGCTGTTCGGATGAACCAGAAAGTGAGGTTTGCACCAATAGGAAGAGTCAACACCCATGGAATCCCCTGGTGAACACCAAAAATCGCTGGAAAATGATGTTGATCCATCCCCCACCTGGGCTCGTATTTATTGACACCAGTGACTCACCGGGTAAGTAAAACGAACTGTTGGGCGGGAAGTGAACACAAAGATATCTAGTGTGGTAAACCATGGGCCATAAACCTATCAATTGTGGGGATGGTTGTTACCATCCATTTATGGTCATAGTAAATATTGGGGATGTTTTATATAATTTGGGGTTTACTTACATTATGCGAAAACGGAGCCCCCCAAGTTCAGACAAAACCCTTGGGTACAGGAAGTGGGTTGCTTCCACTGGGCATGGGATGATCAAACTTAAGTTACCAGGATTGGTGGGTGTGGTCTGAGTTCGTGAGCTAAACCTAAGAAATCTGCAATTATGGGATAGATACTGGATAGTACGGGACAATTCAGGGCTAAATATAAATAACCATCCCCAAAGCCTGCCAAAGTACCAGTGAATCCATGGTTTTTCACGGTTGTTTTTCGGAGATTGCAGCAGCAGGTGGCTGCTTTGGAAACACCGACACACCCGGAAGTGCTGCACAGACGATCAATCCGGCCATGTATGAAAGGCGCGGTGGAGAGGATGAGATGTCCCGCACAATACGGGTTATATCGTTATATTGGTTCCAACTAAACAATAGGAAGTGGGATATACCCCGGTACTCGTAAGTTAATAATTATTGCATTATGCGGTATTCCTTCACATTAAGTAGTCTTTCAACAAATTCATGAAAACGCGAAATAGATTATCAAACTTCGGGTCCCTCGAATTTGTGGCCCTAACCCTCTCCACGAGGTTTAATTACGGAGTCAATATGTTGTCAGGAGCTATTTGGATGGCTAGGGCTAGGATATTTGAGATGAGTGTGTTGATGTATTCATTCTTGTACATGCATGTATGTGTACGCATAAATATATATATATATACATGCATAGTATGTATACCTGGAAGCCTTGGAAATGAAGCATATGTTGCATTGTGGACCCTTTTTTGTGTTTGTAGTCATGTTGCTTCAAAGTGAAATGATCTCATTGTTTGTTTCGAGGTATGCCTGTGGGAATTTGTGTATCATCAAACAGACATACAAGCATAGATGAATATATATATATATATACTGTAACTCTAGTTTATGAGAACCAACTGATAGGGGGGCCTCACCTTGTACATGTTTTTAATTCGAGAGCCCTCCTCGGGTGTTCCCAACGGCAGTGCTAGGATTGCGTTTCCGTGGATTTATGGTGGAATTAACCATGAAACCGTTGAATTTCACTGTGAATCATGGTGGTTTTAAGCGTGTTAAAGCAACAATCATACGTGATTTTTACTGGTATATCATAGGGTTGATCCTAGATTCCTATAGATATCCGATTATGATCAATAATCAATTCACCATTGTTAAGTCCGTATAAAGCCATTATTAATCTCATTCAATCACCATTGAATCGATGAAGATGGATCAATTCTCAGGTCTTTTACAAGCAGAAATTGGGCCTAGACACCCTGAAAAGAACCATATGGAACCACCCATTTCGATGGTTATAAGTTATACCGGTTATGTCAATTTTTTACAACAATTTTATACAAGTTTGGGTTATAAGTTATACCGGTTATGCCAAAGTTTTGGGATTTACAAGTATCGCGATAACCCAGTATTCTGTGGGATATATATATATATATCAAACGTGGCTTCCTGGAAAATCCCCCCATTCAGTTCGATGACTTGCCATTGACACGTTTGATGACACCAGAGGGTACCCCATTAGATATCCCCTTAACCATTACTAACCCATTGTTGACCCGCTATTCGGCATACCCTTTGGTATAATTACTACTCAATGTTAACCCCAGTTATGAAGCTGGTTATCTCCCATTAAATATCAAGTGCCCATGCCTCTTTTCCATATGTATATGGTTCCCTGATGTTCCCTGCAGTCGCGACACCAGGCAGTGTTCATATACAAAGGAAAAGTGAAGCAACACATCTTGCGTTCTTCTGGATTTTTGCAAATGCGCTCTTTCAACTGAAATCATAAAACTTGCATTTCGTACATGAAATGTCCAACGAAAAAACCATGATCAAGCTATAAATCCAATGTTATCCACTTTTTTACTATGACTGGTTGGTGGTTTGGAACATTGTTTATTTTCCATAATATATGGGATAATCCTTCCCATTGACTTTCATATTTTTCAAGATGGTTAAAACCACCAACCAGCTATGATTATCCCACATAAAGCTGGTCAGGTTAGCACATCAATCAGTGCGATGTCTCCATCAGGTTAGCCTCAGCGACTGCAGGAGGACGCTGAGAAACTGATGGAAAACACGCCGAACAAAACGACCAATGGGGCTCCGGGAAAGCATAGAAAACCATCCGAAGATGGCAATTTCATTGGATTTAATGGTATATCTAATCTGGTTGGTGGTTTGGAACATTTTTTATTTTTCCATATATTGGGAATTTCATCATCCCAACTGACGAACTCATATTTTTCAGAGGGGTAGGTATACCACCAACCAGTAATTTACCTGAGGTGCAGTTGGGGTTATGAATATACTCATGATAAGTAATGTGGGAAACACAAGGCCATAAGGTGCTGCACTTTGGGGATGGTAAACATAGCACCCTTTTTAAAATGGTGATGAATTGGGGATGGTTTATTGTTGAATTTACCATATTACCCTATAAGTTGGGATACCACTCCAATAACTATGGTAATTATATATTTATATATATATATATATATATATATATCATAGCTATATAATTATAACTGGAACTGCACCGCAACTCGTATGGCTAGCCACCCTGAAAATGTTTACTCGGATTTAATGAGGGGTGCTCCGGCCCATTATAGGTACCCTCTGGTAATTTAACATAGCTATTGAAAATACCCCATTTATAGTTGATTTACCTATTCAAAATGGTGATGTTCCATACTTATGTTAGTTTACCAGAGGGTATATGATATGATAGCCACGTTTGGATACGGAAAGTTGCAATGTGTCCATATGTTCACCTCTTTACCCCATGTACTAGCGTTGGGAGCACCGCCAAGTTGAGTGGACAACTCACAAGCAATTTGGAGAGATCAGAAAATGAATTTGGCAATTCGGGAATCTCATGGGAAAGTGTCCCTTGGCCAAAACTATGTAACTACCCTCTAAACCAACATAACTATGGAAAATCACCATTTTGAATAGGTAAATCAATGGGTAAGTCCACTATAAATGACCATTTTTAATAGCTATGTTAAATTACCAGAGGGTATGTCAAAATAAACCTGGCTGCAACAAGAAACAATGGCCCTGTCCACAAACTTTCGAAATCCCCAGCAGTCCACCTCGGCCAACAGAAATGATGGGCTTATCTGGGGCCAAGAGCTCCGCTTATGGGCTCACCATAAGGCTGCTTGACTTTCACTTGTTATTCCTGTTCAAACTGACAATGACATATCATCAATGCCATGCCGATGTCTTTGGCAGAAATGCTAGATCAGGGGATGGCAGGCGGGCATGGCATGCTTCACCCGCCGTTCAAAAGCGAAGCAATGAATAAATGCATTCCCGCAAAATTTCTCCAACAGCAGTGCAGGAGCTTGTTTGCCTTTTAGACATACAGGACATCAACTGACAACCTCTTTGACGCGCCCATTGCGTTTCAAAGGCAGGGTCCTTAACGTCCTTTGTCAGTGGATGAAGGCGTAGAGGCGCTCACACGCACACACATTGATGCCAGTGTCAGCTCAGCGTGTGGTATGCACCCTTTTGGCTGCGTGATGTTTGACATTTTCAGGACGGGTAGCAATGTCTTGGTCCCACAGCCGGACTGCTATTTTTGCTTGCCCCTCCGAAAGGTTGTGGATCGCTTTTTTCAGAGTATCCATGAAATTGTCCGGAGACATGCTGCGGGCAGTTGCAAGAAATTGGTAATGCAGACTGCTGCTGTCACTTTTTCAGAGCGGATGAAGCCCCGTCAGGCTTTGGAACAAGGTAAGTGGATGTTTGCAAGTGATAAACGCACCCTAAATTCTTCTGTCTTAGTGAATGAAGTTGCACATGCAGTGAGATTGGGCGTTAGTATTTCGATTGTTTTTTTCAGGCGAGGTTCCTGCGCAGAGACTTGAAAGATGTGCAGCTAGCCTAGCTGTTCTGGTCTCTTTGCTGTAGTCAGAGCCCGCCCTTGGTGCTGCCCATAGCAAACAACCATGAGATACAAATATATATATATATATACATATAGGGTTTTTTTGAAGAAATGCCAATATGAGGTAACCTTTAATCAATTTTACCAAGGTAAAACCATTTGAAGGAAGTAACCAATAGAAAGGAGCAATACAAGAATTGCGAAATTTCATTCAATGCACAAGTAGTTAAAATAGGAGGCATTGGATTCCCAATAAACCTTTTAGGGCCTTTCCCTCGCGCTTCTGCAGTCACGGTCACTTGAGGGAGTAGGATGGTCTGTATAGCCATCATCATCATCATCATCATCATCATCATCGTCAGACCACACCTCAATGGGCATTAAGAACGATGCGCCCAGCAGGAAACTTCGAGGATTACGCAGAGTATGGAGGACAAGGCCAAAAAAAAAGCAGGGTTTTCATTTTTTCTTTAATGACGTAAACATGGGTAAGTGGTGTTTTTCTGCCCTAAATGCAATGGTTTCTCAAGCACTTTCTATCTAAAGCTGCTATAAATCCCTCTGACAGACCCTTTGGGACCATGTCTGTCATGCATTGGTGTTTAAGCATTGGCAGTTTAGCCCAGCATTATATCCCCATAATATATAATAATAATAATAATAATATTTTTCAGGGGTTTGTTTAGAAATCGGGCATCCCAAAATCACCGGTGAATCAAAAAAAGTTCCTTGTCAAACTGCCGAAATCCATGTTCAGACACATCCGTTTTCAGTGGTTGAACTGGCATGATGGCAGTTTTAGTGGTTAAATTGAGGTTTTGAGCTATCAGCCATGGGAAAGCATGCTATTTGGGGGTACCCTATGTTCACACAGACCATGTTTCTTCAGGGAACAGCCATGGTTGTCATTGTAGTTGCTAGGGGAAGTCATCCCCAAATTGACTTCAGTTCGTGTGATTTCAGTTATTTTTTGTGGTTTTTGCCATTTGACACATCATGGCACAGCGCCGTGTTGCCAGAAATTCATTGTTGAACCACTGTTTGATATGTGTTGCTTCTTACTGCACGTTGGATTCCCTCTTTATATATATATATATATTTATCATAGTACATTGGTATACCATTAATTAATTTGAATTTCATAGTACATTAGTATCACATATGACATGTCAGAAATACAATTTAAAAAAAAATAGTTTTAATGGATAGTCATATCCTTGACTGATATTTTTAATCCCACTAGTGTGATACTAATAAAATTGCCATTAATACCATCAGTATGCCTTAGTTATCCTTAGTTTATCACAAGTACAATAACAAGAATGTATCCATTAAATCACCATAAAATCACCATGGTACTTATTGGGGGCTGACCCATCAACATTCCATCGAAAAACTCCAAGTAGGGTATTATCATGTTATCTATATTATAGATCCTATATAGATATCTACTATAAACCCTATTTAACCCACTTATAAACCAAGTAACTGATCCAGATCTCACGTGAGAAAAGTTGACAGGCGCGGGCAACTTGGCGCGCGCCGGTGCCGGCGGCGTTGCTTTTACCAATTTGGGAGGCGCAGAAGAAGGGCAGGATTGAATCAATCAAAAAATCTGGGTAGATAGGAACATATGGTCAATGGGAACATATGGTTTAATGGTGATTTATTGGCTTAACCATGGTGAATAATGGGATGATATGGTAAACTACCCTCTGGAAATTTTAAAGAGTTTGCCATTAAGGATGGTGATTTTCCATAGTTATGTTAGTGTACCAGAGGGTAATGATGATAATGGTTTAGAATGGTGAATAGTGGGTGAATCTTGGATATGTAATATATATCTGGGTAATTTTAATCACGACCTCACTGTTCTCCCTCACTATACTCGTAGTGAGTAAGAAGAATTATCCCCGTTTATGGCCTTAATTTAGGTTAGTGAAATATTATAATTTACCCAGATAAAGATGGGGATTGAAACTTAAAAAATGGGGATTGAACCATGAACACTTGGGATTGAAGCATCAAAACTGGCCTTGAATTGAAGTTTATCATGCAAATCTGGATTTAACAATGATTTAACCATGATTTTTCATTCAAATCTGGATTTATCATCAAAATCTGGCCCAAAGTTATTGATGAAGCAAAACTTCCTTGGCATTTCAAACGGACCAGCCAACGCCAGAGCTCGCTGGGTAAAGTTACTGGATAAGTAGATATCATTCAGCTTTGCCGACAGATGAGTGTGTTTAACTAAGCCCACCGAAAGCCATTGGTGCCAAAACTTGGCGATTTTCAACTCATTTGAGGTAAGATATTGATGGATAGTAGATGACAACTGGGATCCACAAAAACAACAAATTGTGCTGGTTGGTGGTTTGGAACATTTTATATTTTTCCGTATATTGGGAATAATCATCCCAACTGGACTTTCATATTTTTCAGAGGGGTAGGTCAACAACCAACCAGAGTAGTGTGATGACAACTGGGATCCACAACAAATCAACTCCCTAAATCGAGGTGAGATTTCCAACGGTTTTGGTGCTCCAAGATGGCCATGAAAACCCAGGAATCAAATGATGAGATTTCACTGGTTGAACCTTGGAGAGCCGCTTGAATGATCCAAACACACCCAAGTTGAAGGGTTGGGATGCAAATATCACATCTGCTTGGTGGTTTGGAACATGAATTTTATGACTTTCCATATATTGGAAATAATCATCCCAACTGACGAACTCATATTTTTCAGAGGGGTTGAAACCACCAACCAGACATCCATTTGAGAAGTCCGGAGTGTGAAGATGCAAAAAAATACACAGCAAGTCAGATCTCACCATCTCATCTATCCTGGCAACATGTTTGAAGTTCACCTGGGTAGACCTCATTGGAATGACTTTTACCTGTATCTGATCTTTATTGTTTCCATTCTTTGCCTATTGTATCAACATGCCGTGGTTCTGTAAGATTCAAAACCTATTTCAATTACCCTTTTAGTCCCTTTTGATTTTTCCATATATTGGGAATAGTAATCCCAACTGACTTCAACGAGGCTTGCACGCGCCACCGTCGTAGTGGCAGGAGAGGAACATCGAACACAGATTGCCACACTGCTGGCCCGACCGCTGGTCCCCTGGACAACAGGAGAGGGTGACGTCGGTCTGTTTGCATCACCAAATGGATCAAAAAGTAGGAGGCGACTTTGACGGCTCCCAGTTCACGGAGGTCCAGGCCTCTGCTGTCATCGAATGTCTCAAGGAACTCATTTTGTAAATCAATTTCCTCATGTGTTCTTGTCCAATGCCTATTTATTATTTAATGGTCAATATCCCAATTGTATCCGCATTAGTTGGTCGTTGCATGCCTGTCGTTTGCTATATGTGCATTGCTGGATACAACACTGCTGCATCCCCATCTTTCCCAACTCTAGTTGTAAATTTCCCCAATCTATTTGAGTTTGAATCCTGGATTTTTTCTGAACAATATCCCCTCCTTTGTATCCGTAGCTTTGCGTTGACAAAGAAGCTATATCATATCTGCAGTTTCACAGCTTGTTGTTCTGCTGTCTCGATGCGCTGGTTCAAAGGATGGGAAACGATCTATTACTGTAAATCTATTAATAGGATCCACATATGTTCCACGATGTTCCATTATTTTCCCATCGTGGATCCCTCCTTTGATTATTTTGACTGCAGGTCAAATTGCTTGGTGAAATCCACAAGGTTGTTTGTAGATATCCCCAGGAAGGGCCCCGTTCGTTTGAAGTTGGTTCAAACCGCGCGATATCCCCCATAAACCCTGATTAAATCTCATTAAGCAAGTTGAGAGTCAACTTCGCTAACAAACTGGGGCCCCTTTCGTCTGTCCAGGCAGTGCAAATATGCTGCCCTCCGTCTCCAATCCCGCTGGTGCGCTGGAGAAAATGTTCGCCTTTGGGGTCGGTGATTTCTTCGTACTTTTTGCACCAGAAAGGTTGGAAAAATTGTCGCAATTGAATGTGCGTCCCAATTATATAGGGATGGGTCAAAACCTATGACATACCCTCTGGTAATTTAACATAGTTATTGAAAATGGCCCATTTATAGTTGATTTACCTATTAAAGATTGTGATTTTCCATAGCTATGTTAAATTACCGAGGGCACTGTATTTGGGGGGAGAACATCCATAAAATCTGCCTTTTTTTAATCCAGCTCAAATAGTTTTTCCAGGACATCATGTTTGAACGTCTTGCGATGATCTACACCGAGAATAGGCAGAAAGTTCAGATCAAGGTGAAGAAATTCATGGTCAAGAACAGTTCCTTGTGCTTTGCCAAGGCGCAGATGTTACAGCTTGAACTAGCTGGGCAAACACTTGGCCACTCATTGAATCCACTCATCAATTGACGATTCTTGTCCTCTCGAACTTCCAGGAGCGCCTTCCGTTCGGTGGTGATGGTTCCTACTCCATGGCGGTCTACCACAAGACCAACTGGGATACTATTCCTAAGGTCCTGTCTGAACAACTGATCAGACCAGCTAGAAGATTCGAAGGGCGAACAGGGATATCCAAAGCAATATCCTTTTGCGGCTGTGCACAAGAAACTATATGGATCTCAGATCTCATGGGCCGTCAAGCAGACACCAAATGACCTTTGTAAAAAATCAGTTATTTGGTCAGCTTCCCGTTGGGGTGAACCAACTATTTCCGGGCTCGGGTCCCAGGGTATTGACCCATAACTATCATATACCCTCTGGTAATCTAAGAGTTTGCTATTGAAAATTGCCATTTATAGTTGATTTCCCTATTAAAATGGTGATTTTCCATAGTTATGTTAGTTTACCAGATATAGTATGTGGATGTATGTGGTTGATCACTTTTGTACAAATCATCTAAACCCCGGGATACTCCATATACATATGAAATTGTTATAGTTGGTGCATATGTTGTTCATCAACCCCCATAAAAATATTGGCGTTGTCCAAAACTTGGGTACCCCAAAATCTCATGGTAGGCATGTTCCCCAATAAATGATTGTAGATTGGGGTATGGTTCATGTTTCTGCAAACCTATCTTTTATTACCTGGGTATGGATCAAAATTCAGCACCTATGGTTCTGAGGATGTGTGTCATTCTTAGAATCTGACACCATTCAATTTGAGAGATGGGAAAATTTTAGGCCATAAATCTGGCGGGGTCTGTGCAACGAATCTGGTGTCGATCAAGATCTTGATCCTTGTTGGGTGTCCTTGGTGGGGGATGAAGAAAAAATCCACTGGCGAAATCAAATAGTCCAAATGGTCAGAAGGTCGCCCCAAGTATAGGGTCTAGCTGAGTTCTAGCTAAGTTTAATCATTATCAATGGTTTGCAGCTGGCTGAACTGAGATGATCCATAGGTTCTGCCTACTGAGCGTGTTCTACAAGGTGGTGTCCCCCAGTTGTAATTTAGTTTACACCCCCCAGTAACCATAGTTTTAACCATAGGTTTATCTACGATGAATCCGAGTTGTTCGGGTTCAACCACCAACCATAGGCGATTCGTGGATCTTTGCGGATGAACCGGTCGACCGGTCTGCAGGTGGAAATTTGCTTGGTGCCGGTGCCAATCAAGGACGCGCGCTGACGCAAGCTTATCTGGTTGGTGGTGACTGGAACCATGGATTTTTTTTAAAATAATTTTACGACTTTCCATATATTGGGAATAATGATCCCAACTGACTTTCATATTTTTCAAGATGGTTAAAACCACCAACCAGTTATAGTCATCCCCCCGGTATATAGTATATACTCAGCTGTTACAAGGAATTCCCGATGCTGGGATAACCATAGCCATAGCCCATATGAATGCCACAGAACTATGACATGTTTTGACCATGGCACGTAAGGAACTGGAAATTGTACATCCACCATGTTTGAGATAGCGGTACCTGGATGGACCATAGGACCATAAGTGGCTTAAATAACCTGCTATAATCCAGTCATAAGATGTTATAGCAGGGTACAAGCCAGTTCTGAACTAGTTTACTCCATGACCCATCCAAGTAGTTATTTCCTGGTGGAGAGTTAGATTCTAGATGGTTTCCTGTCAGCAGCAACATCTAGCAGATTAAGCATATTTCCGTGTCATCAGGCCAGAATTCAACCATGAATTCTTACGGATGAATCAAGTTGACTTGATGTGGATTCATTTGCCACAAGTTACTCACATTGAAGCCCAGCAAGAGGTGGAAAATCCATATGAAAATCCAATGTTCTGAGAAATTTCGGATGTGACGACCTCAACAGCGACATTATAAACGTTGGCCCCCAAATCCCATTGAAAGTATCCGCATTATATCCCCGTTATCATAGGGTTGACACAGATTCCGTTTATCCAAAATAGGGATACATTGGGGACAATCATATCACCGTATCCATCTATATCCCCATTCTGGGTATACCCACTGGGCACGGCAAGCCCCCAGAAAGAACACTCACGTGACCCTTAGCCCTTCCGCTGGATGTCTTTTCCTCCACGAAGTTGCGCCAAACAGGCGGAATGCCGAACCAAATGACCATGGCCAATATGCAGGTCGTCACCGGGGTCGATGGAATCTGGGGTAAGCAGCGAAGTTTCTGGCGACTGGCTGAAGACCCTCTGGTAATTTAGTGGAACATCACGAACATCACCCATTTTTGATAGGTATATACTCATCGATCATCTACAAATTGGCGATTTTCCAGAGCTATTTCAAGTAACCAGAGGGTAAGGATCAATGGGAAAGTAGACCAACTAGCTAAACATCGATTGGCTGGGAGCCAAAGTGGCTGGTGCCTTTCCATACACTCCGGTAGTTAAAGATAACAGCAGGGCATCACCCATCTATACATCCCCAACCGTGGATGGGTAGTTCAATCCTTGAGGTTTTTGCGATACATGAGCTCACATGGAAAATAGCCAGAACCAGCAAAATATTTTTTTGTGGACTAGCAAAGATTGACTATATGTATTATGTATGGATGGTTTTCCAACTAAAGCGACAAATTAGTGGGGTCATTTTTCCAGCTAGCCATGTTCGATTACCGGATGTTGTGATCCCCACGATTTTCTGTTACAAAAAAGGTGCGTTGGTGCGTGTTGTTCTCCAGAAAAGTTCCGACAAATTCTTCATAACCCACATTGTTTTACTAATTCACCATGGAATTCTGGGGCAGCGGCAGCTTCTGTGGTTGTTTCCCCTGTGTTTCCTATCAGCTTTTTCGATCCTTGCGGGATGGTCCTTTTCGATCAAATCCAACAGGGCTTATCATGGGATTATCATGATGATTTAACCGGTTTAACCACTATAAATGCTGGGCTTCACCAACAGAAACGCTAGGAAAATGGTGATAAACCATAGGAAAACTATGGGAAAATGGTGATTTAACCACTAACAAATGTAGATTTAAATGGTTGGTTTAACAATGGTTAATGATGGTTGATAGTGGATTATCTGGTGGATTTAATAGAGTTTTTTTTTTTTAATGGTTTGTTACAATGGCTTAACATTGGTGAATTTCATGGGATGATCATGGGATATAGCCTCTGGTAAACATTCACGGTTTGCAGGAAAGATCCACCATGCTATTAATGGGGATTCATCCACTATTTCGACTGGGCCATGGCTTCCAGTTTCCCAATATGGGATGACCTTAAAAACCACAAAAAGCACCACCTTTTGACTCTTTTGACCGTGGAACACACATGTATTTTTTGCGCGTGAACTTGTGTATTTTCTGTAATGCGGATGGTTTGCACGCGCATGTACATACAGTACTACTGAGAACAAGTGGTCAAATATTCCGCGCTTCACTGTAGGATGTAGAGAGTGGTACTGGCTGGAATCTAGCCATATTTGTTGCGTCTTACTGTTTTGGGGCTTGATGGATTTACCACGAAGAGTTCAACTTTTGCTGTGGGATCAACAAGCTGGGTTAGGTCAGGATATGCCCCTTCATTTAGATCACCCCCATGTATTAGCCTATCGTTTGATGGCTATCATCCCACATCAAAACCGATTAATTACAGTACTTGAACTCATAACTGTTATATACATACATTAATACACATACATGCATACATATTACATATATAATTTGTATATATATATATATATGGGATACTCCATGTCGGGGACTTATTCATGAGGCTTGTTCATCACTTTCAAGTAGGTTTTTCACTGGTTTCACATATTGATTCGTTTCATCACTGTCTTATTCATCCCCTATATTACATGGTGGTTCATCCCACGAATCCTCAGTAGGTTATATCCCCGGTTTTTTCAGTGGGATAAGTAGGGTTAATCCACTTAAAACTAGGCTAACAAGCTACTTACGATCCGTGGGATAAGCCACCAAGTAGAATATTGATGATTTTCAACCTCCGATGCCACGGGGAGGCAATGGCAGCTATGGGCCAGCCTGGTATGTATCAGATGGGAAACCCCACAGGGTTGCCCACAGGCGGGATGATCATAGCGAAAACTGAGCAAAAATCATGGAACTTTGGGATTTCATGAAAAATTGTTGGAACCAAACCATGGGTGGAAAACATTGGTAAGTCAACCGGTTCAGGCTAGTTTCATGGGCAAATCGGAGGTTTAAGCAGCCAATTTTGTGCGAGGTTTTACCATCAACAAGTCAGGCCTTAAGCATGAATATGTGAAGGAACCAGCTGCTGAGGTATCCATTCATACGACTTCACCTTTGGCATGTTGATGGGAATCGTTACGATATTAGTGGGTAAATGGCTACGAATATAGCAATATAGTGGCCTAGGTCCCAACGTATGGTTCATAAGCCAACAAACATGGACCCCCTCCTTTTTGGGAGTTCCCATAGTTGTTTCGAGGCAATAATCATGGCAGGGCTCTGGGAAACCCGGACAGCAGCATCATCATCGCCGCCATATGATGGGGATATGACTGGATATAATGGGATATTGATGGGGATTTCATGGGGATTTAATCGGGTCTAGCCAATAAACATATATACATATAAATAATATATATATATATATTATAGTTATTGTATGTATATATATATATATGTATATATACGTAGTTATATACAACATAATGTATATATATATATACCTAGACCCTCAAACGTAGTTCCTTTTTCAAGTCATTCCTAAATACCAAGAACTTTTGGTCCGAACAAAAAGTAAGTGGCCACAAGAATTTCTAAGATTAACATGTCAATCTTGAGATATTGTCTAAGATAACCAGGCAAGGCACACCCCACCACAAGCACATTTCCACACACCTTTTCTCTCTTCTTCTAGGATTTCCCTCCTTTGCGCTGCTTCTTGGGTCTTGATGATGACCACTGCCTGCGAATCTCTACCAGGTATTTGAAAATGGTTGTTCGAGCAACGCTGCTGGGGTGTGATGTCCGCGAGATTCTAGAAACAACTCCAATGAAGTCTTCAAGGATCGGTGTCGCAAAAGCACCAGGACTGATGGCCCACTCTTTACCATCTGCGACTGATTGTGATAACTCTTCATGCCAGTGTGCTGAAAAATGAGACTTGGGAACTATTTTGAAAAAAGTCCAATCTTTTCGGTGCCAGTAGACTTGCAGCTGAACATAGGAATGCAGAAACGTTCCCAAGAAGGACTTTCCTTTCTTTTGTTTCCTTGCATCCCAGAAAGTTCTGTCCCCAGTGTATGATAAACGCATGAACTCATCAACTGCTTGAAGCCCATCCAAAGCGGTGTCAAGAAGCCAACAGGTCTCGAAGGGAATGCTTGTAAGAAAATCGATGAGCCACTTGATAAGAAGGTTGCAGTCAGAGGCTTTGCAAGTCATGTCCGGATACGAACGGTTTGTTTCCCAACTCAGGTTTTCCAAGGTAAACTCCTTCATGTCTCGGGCATGTTCATGGTTGCAGTCCTGCCAACTTTGGAAATACGTGTAAGCTTCGTCCAGTCGGTGTTCCTTACTATTTCGAGCTGGGCCTCCATCACCAGCAGGCAAAAAGATATCCATGGGCCCTGCCATCATACATATGATAGATGCCACAAAGTTCCTTCCACAGCCATGAGGTATCATGTGCATCAAATCCCACCGTATGAAGGCTGGATTGTTTGCCCCAGGTATCATACCAAGTGGAGGTGCCACACGCCAGTCCCAAGGTACTGTTTGATAGATAGTTCGTCGCCACATTGCATGCATGGACATATCCTCAAAAGGCACACTATAAGTGTTAGCGTGGCAGTGTGGGCAAATTTCAGTTTTCAAGTGTCCTCGCGTGGCTCTGTACGCTTTGGTTTGGAAAGGATGGTCCCCAGCCAATCCCAAAAAGACCAGGAAGAACTTGTGACCAGAGCGTGTTTCAATGCCATCAGTAAAAGCTTTGGCGGCAGATTTGCCACACTCTTCCAACAACTTGTCGATAACAACGTTCCCAGCTTTGGAGCCCTTGTTGAACTTTGAATACATTTTGTGCGCGCATGATGTTATCAAAAACATCCTTTCCAAAGAACTGTACCCAACTCGTAGCAAAGAACCCCAGGATAGTTGGAGAACCGGTTTTTTGCGATGACCAGTCCCCTCATCACCATGTAGCATACATGGTATGCAATGATCCAATTCGTTCCCATGAGTAGTGTACACTTGGTTGTCAGGTTCTATGCAGCGCCATTTCTCCCAAAAATCAGACAGATCCTTTGTCCAGCTCGTCACATCTGAAACCGGATTGTTGAGAAGCTTCGCAGAATAGTTGGAATTCAGCAAAAATCGGGCCATATCAAATATTGTCAACATTGGATGTAGAATCTCTCGTTTTCTCTTCTTTCTCTTTCGCAAAGGAGTTGGGTGAACCTTCAGGGAAAGTAGGTAACAGAAAAAACAAGCCTTTTATTCACAAACAGGTTGGGGAAGCCTCACACCAAAAACAGCTAAAATGAAAGTAAAAACATACTTTGCACTCTGAAAGACGTTCTTCAACCAGCTAATGGGGATGTTCAGCATCCAACCACGCTTATGCAAATGCCGTGGCAAATCACGGCTACGATTCCACTGGGATGATTTCCCAAGACCACCAATGCCCTGCAAAATGACTTTCTCTTTGCCCCAAGCCGCTACATCACCGGAACCTCTCGCTTGGTTGATTGCAGCCTCTGCAGAGTGGGCCTTGGGAAGAGTGAGGCCAGAAGCTCACCAGGGATGGTATACGGTATCCAGCAGAAAGAAATATGCGCACATATATAAAAAACAAAAAGTTAATAGGTAATATAGTTGTTTCCTCTCTCACTCTCTCTCTCTCTCTATTTGTCTATCTATCTCTAACTAGCTATCTATCTATCTATCTATCTATCTATCTAACTATATATTATATATATATCATATATCTATCTATCTATCTATCTATCTAACTATATTATATATATATATTATATCTATCATATATCTATCATATATCTATCATAGCTGTCTATCTATCTATCATATATCTATCATCGTTGTCTATCTATCTATCTATCAAATATCTATCATATATCTATCATATATCAATCATAGCTGTCTATCTATCTATCAAATATCTATCATATGTCTATCATATGTCTATCATATATCTATCATATATCTATCATATATGTATCATAGCTGTCTATCTATCTACCATATATCTATCATATGTCTATCATATATCATATCTTTCTGTCCATATTGTTTTGGTCACCCATGACGCATACACGTGATTTTTTTTAATATATGTGTATATAAGTTGTAAATATATCATGTTGGAGGGTACATAAGGTTGGATAACCTGTAACATAACCATTGGAGGTTATATTGGGGGTGTTCTAAAATAAAGTACCCCAAATCCTCCAAACTTAAACCAATTTGTATTGACCCCCACGGTCTTGCACCCTCTACTTTGAGATGTTCTCTCAGGTATGGAAATTCCTTCCAAGTTTGCTGTTCACAAAAGAGGATTACATAACCATCATGACAAATGTTCCCCAAGAACTTCTTTGGAGCTTATCACCATTTCAAAGAATGTCCCACTAATTAATCCATTATAACCCATTTGAATGGAAGAATGCCTCACAACAACCCATATATTAAGTTGATTCAAAGGGGGTTCATTGCCCACAAGAATCCACAGATGATTTCCATAAGCAGTTCTAAAATAGCACCAAGGAACTACATAAGTCCTGAGAACATCTTCGACCACTTGAGGAATTCCTTGATCTTGAGAAGCACCTGCGAGGGGCAATGAGGGGCACGATACCTGTTCTCGGCATCAAGGGGGAAGGGGAAAACACTAGGAACCGGCCATTGAATGTCCGTTTTGGGTTTCTTGGATGGGCCCATGAAACCACAAACAACCCCAAACAACATCACAAGAATATCCACACACAAAACACACTTTTGTCATTGAGACGATTTTAGCAAAACAAGGGATGCAAACACACACACACACACATGCGGAGACATGTTTTCACCGCAAGCAGCAACACCTGCATAGTCCGTTCCAGTCAGCAGCCCATCAAAATTGCCAGGCTATTCAAGGGTCAGCCATAGGCAGTGCAAAAGCATGTTTTTTTTTTTTTTATGAAATGGTGTTAGGACAAGTGCCATGCAATGCACTCTATAGATCCATGGCACTGCATTGCATTGGCCAACCACCAGGCAGGGCTGGGTCACCGTTGAGACCACTGGTAACTTCTACCATAGAATATCATGGGTATATCCAGATCACTCAGGAGATTCAGTCTTCGGCTTAGATTTGGCCTTCGCCGAGGTCTTTGTAAAGAACGTCCTTAGGTAAAAACGTCCATTATATACCCCAATCAAGGCTCGTGAATTTGGAAAGTAACTGACTACCAAAATAAAATATTCATGACTTTGGATTAATATGGACTAGACTATACAATCTTCGGAACCCCAGACATAACATATATGCAATTGAGCTTCTTCACCTGGGCATGGACGTTGCCGAAGCTGATGCACCTTGGTGAGGGAAACTGTGGCGATGCACCCCACAAGCTGGGGAAAAAAAACATATGACAACAGCCGCTGTTCAATAGGTACCCAGCTCTTTGCGGATCTTTTCACAGGTGGCGGCAAACGCTCGTTTCCTCATCCAGTTGAAACTTCAACTATCACAAAATTTGCATTCAAAAATCATCAAATCGTAAGTCTTTGACATTTTTGATTTAATATTTCCATTTGTCATCGATGGTGAGCCCCAACCCAATGCAATAGAAGATTCTCCCGACCATTCGGGCCAACTTCAATCACTCCAAGTTCCTGGTAGTATTGGCTCAGCAAACCTGGGCGGCTGGCAGGGGATGTGGAGAGAGACGTGGTTGAAACGGTTCTGCATCAACAAGAGCAAGGACTGCACTACACCAAGTGGCTTCCACTCTTCTCTAGGCTCTCCAAATCTTTCCTTATTTCTTTGTGGAAACAAACAAAGCATGGTTTATATTCCATGAGGCTTTGGAATTTTGAGGCCACCAAACAAGTAGAAAACAAATAGATACGAGATCATGCAAGACAAAGAATCTCATGCCCTTTGGAGTTGTCACGTTCCAAACGTTCCCGGGTGCTCTTCAAAAGGGCTTTCTTCGATAGGCAGCTCTTTTTGTATTGTCCGATGTATTCGGTGATACTCTCATCGCCCTCTACAATGGGGAATTCACAGATTTTTTTTTTGGGCCCTTTCTGATCACCATGAGGGGTGCTGGTGTCAGAATCCTCATCCTCCAAGACATCTCCTAGGGAAAAGTCTGTGTCATATATGCCCCAGTCCTTCATCTCCTGCTCAAGGAGCTTCATCTTTTCATCTCCTGCCTCCACGTCATCTCGCACCTGGACCAGGTACTTGATGGCCTTGTCATCGTAGATGCATTTCCTGCCAGCGGTGATATTTTTAGAGAAAGTCTTTTCAGTTGATGTGATTAATTTAATGATGACGAGAATGCATGAGATATGACGCACATGAAATGTCTCGAGGGGCAGTCTTTGTCATCTTTCTCTTGGTGCAATACTTCACAGCACCTTCGATCTTTGTCCTTAGACTGGATGAGTGGCCCTACGGATTGGGGACATGTTCAAGGAAATTCGCAAGAATGTTGTAGGCTTGTTGAAATAAAATTTCAGATCACATGAAACAAAAATCAAGTTGTATGATATCTCTCTCTCAACAGTTATATATATATATATATATTATATCAATACTAATGTATACATAGTACAAATATATATATATATATATGCTATAAATTATATATATATATATGAATCACTGTGTATCTTGATGGCAAGTGGCTCTGCCCATCCCAAACCTTTCATCTCCTCCTCAGTATGCCATGAATAGCCCTGCAAGTTCCGGCGCCAGGATCGAGCGGTGTTCCTCAACGTCACCAACGCTTGCAACTTGGCCTGCAGCAAGCCCGCTGAAAGAGGAGTGTTTGATTGGTTTCATCAATGTGATTTCAAAAGATGAAGAGTCTAGCCCATTGCACAGCCACTATGCATGGCCTTGTTCTTCCCAAAGTCATCACTAGGGTTGTAGCATCGGCAAACAAAGTCTCGGAGTAGGTTGTCTCTTTTGGGTCCACCTGCTCAAGGGGAATTTGTTCCAAACTGTTTCAAACTGTGATCTATATTTTGCAAGCTGATGGGTGGCTGATTCTAAATACCCATGCTTTCACTATAGATGCACCTGCATGCCACGTATCATAGATGGTCTTGTCGCATTGGTCTTCCTTTCTGGTCAAACGGTATAGGAACTGCCAAGCTGCTGGGTGCGTAGACGATGTGAACCGCATGTCCGTCATCGGAACGATTGCACCACCAGCAACACCATCACTGGGGCTAGCAGACGGGGCTGTAGTCACAGAGGCGGGACATGGGACACCCTGTTGACTCTGAAGCACTGTCTTCTCAATCTTCTCTCTCAATTTTTCTTTCATCATACTTTTGGCATCTGCAGTAGGCCCAGCAGGCATGGGAGTACTGGGAGGGTTGTCCAACGCTGGGGCGGTGAGCTTCTTGGATTCCACTTCCAACCTACGTTGCATGTCAATTGCTTTGTCTCTCAGTTCATCTAGGTGCGATTGCTCATCAGAAACCAACTGCATTCTTTCTTGCAACTGGCATTCCAAGCTGGCAAGTTTGGCTTCTTTCATCAATTTTTCTTCTTTGAGTTCCTCCTCTAGCTCACGAAGTCGTTTTTGCCGTCTCAGTTCCATTTCATCTTCCAACTCTTCTTCGGCCTTTCGTTTTCGTTCAAGGAAATCGTCCATGAAGTGTTTTTCAAGGGCTTTTGCATGGAAAGTCATCTTTTCTTTCAACTCCTGTTCTAACTTGGCTTTCAACTCGTTTTCCAACCGACCCCTCATATTTTCCAACTCCTCGGACACGTGGCTCCGAGGCAGAGCAGGCTCAGCCGTTGGTGGTGTGGACCCTGGATCGGGCGGTTGGTCCGGACTAGGCTGAAGGGGATCTTGGGACTTGCTAGAACCATCACCTTCTGCAGTGTGTCCACCAAGCACAGGTCCACCGGCTGAACCACTAGAATATCCTACCAGGGCGGCATCCCGTTCATAGAATAAGCTACTCAAAAAGGAACCAGAAACATATAGCATAGGTTGGTATGTATACTATGTGTCCTATACACTATCCATAAATAACAAAACAATTATATTATTATATATGGTGCTCAGTTGACATAATAATCATGCATATATACATCAACATGACAATTGACTCCTCGTTTGAGTTCATTCGCGGCACGGAGAATCTCAGCCTTGAGCTGCATGGACTCAGGGGAGTCACTCAATCCCTTAAGAAGGGCCTTGGTTTCCGGTGAAAAGAGATGTCCATCATCTTCCGGTTCACGTTCAGCCTTCACCTTAGCTGTTGCACGATGGGCCACCTAAGTTATATAATATATATGTCATAGGACAGCAATACTTTAGTGATGATTGGTCAAGTGATTCACCATACAACTGGCCACATGAAGGCAAAAATCAATTGGGAACATGTAAGCATATGCATTGCTCCAACAAGAACATGGTGGGGCATAAACAAAATAACAAGGTTCTCCATGTGCTGCACGTGTTGGTGTCGTTGGCTGCCCCTGCCCATTCAAATACGTAAACCCAGCACGAAGGGTCTCCGTTGAGTGGGTCCGGTCCACCATCTTAAAGACCCGATGGCCCCACGGACCCTTTTGATGGAAAACGGCTACAATCCACCAGCCATGAACATCAGTGGGAAACTGCTACCAATGGTTGGAAAGGCTGTAACCGGACTCTCAAAGGACTGGTTAATACGATTAATTGGTGCTTTTGCTGTTTCATCAAACCCGTCAGAAAATGATTTGTTTTTTTTCTGTTTATTTTCGATGGGATAAATGCATCACTGAAAGCACCCTGAGAGATTGACAGTTTTGTGTGTTGATATTACTTGATTTGACGATTAAACATTGTTTGACCCGATTATAATTATGATATATAGTTCAAAATTCCATCATATAGAGTGACATTAGTGGCCTCAACGCACGATGTGAATCTGCTGCAATCCCAGGTGAGAGGGGGCTGGCACCGTTCGATGGTGAAGACTTGGTCTGCGAAGATTCAGGCGTGGCACCTGGCATCAGATGGTGGTCATGGGTTGCAGCTAGGCTTCGGGGAATACTGGCAGTATTGTGTAAAATTTTGTTTCGAAACCAAAGTGCAACATTATATCATATTGATGATTTTATAAGCCACTATAACACTATCTTACTCAATGGGTCTCAATGGGTTTCCTTCCAGGACCAACAACTTTTTTCATTGGTATATTTGATATTTGAGTACGCACTTTAAGAGGACACTTCATTGTTTTTAAAATCCATTGTCCCAGGATAGGGGCTTGTAAATTGTAAGGAATATGTAAATGGCATGGGAGTGGGAGTGGACTAGCATTCTTTATTGGTTGAACATGTCCCTTATTTGTTTAAATCGTAAGGTCCCCAACTTGATTCATAAGACGGAACAACGCATGGTGGATCCATGTTTTAAATGGTGATCTCGCATAAGATTAAATGACACCTTGAAGGGATATGCCATTGGACTGTCCCTCCCTGGTGTAGGCAAGGATTGGGCTGATGTTATCAATCCTGGTCCCATCAGGCAGTGCTACATGCATGGTACTGATCTTCCATTATCAAATCTTATTCAGTGGGATTCCCTTCCCCCCAAAAAAAAACCAAACAAGTGTGCAGTGTCTTTGACAGGGAAAATCATGTCAATCTTGATGGTGACCTCGAAGATTCCCAAGGCACAACGCCAACAACTTTTCAGAAGTTAAACATCCATTCCACAAGGACACATTTGATGAAAACCTTTGCCTATACGGCCACTACATATGGGAAAGAATCTTTATTCCCACTTTGTAAGGGGTATGCATGAATATTCTTGAGGGAATCAGTGCAGATATGCTTGGAACCCTTCCAATCTCCACCCAAGATGGCTTATAACTGGTTTTGGGAAACTATGTATAGAATAACAACCAAACATATGTAGATAACTACAATTTTCAACCCCCCAAGGTTCCAAAAAATTCTTGCGCATTCTTGCGCGTTCTTGCGCGGACGTTTTTTGATGATTTTTGAAGTTGGGTGGCCCAAGATGGAATTCAAACCATAAAATGATCAACAGTGTTATTCTTGGTCTTGTCAAGATGAAAAAAATGTGTTTTTAATGTTCTTATGTGCTGGATGCTTTCTTGGCTCCCCAAAATAGAAGTATGCAATGCTTATTCAATGCCACCAAACAATAAATATGATTTATTGTGGGGTTCCCAAGCCCCTTTGCAAACATGCAGGACCCCTTTTCCAATCCCAATCTGCGTTCTTTGCAGTGGCTCCAAATGCCCAGGTTGCTGCCGTGCTGGGATCACAACACATGGCAGGGAACCCTAATTTTCGGATTTTCCCTGTGAAAAGCTAATCCGTGAAAGCTTCATTGTAGATATCAGGGAGGCATAGATATTTGCTACCCGCCAAGTAGGAAACAACCTCATCCATTTTGGCAAGTTGCCAGAGTTCCGTATCCACCAATGATTTGATCAGGGTGGGACCGGCAATGCCACCAGTTTCCTTCAGGAATGCAGGGACCGATATGGCACATCTTAAGTCACATTCTATAGTCACATAAGACGTGGAATCACCAAGAAAATGATTAGGGCACCTGGTGTTTGTTAAAAACATTACCATCTGAAAGGTGACCTTTTGGAATTATGATTCCTTTTTGGTAAATTTTCACTTAGATTGGTTCACCAAAAAAGGCCCCCACAAGTCCTCAAAAAACAGTGTTTTCCCTACATTTTATGAAAGATTTTGGGACTTGTGGGTGCCTTTTTTGGGGGACAAACCCAAGTGGAAAATGAGCATTCCTTTTGAAACCAATGCCAACAATTAATTGGTACAGTCCTGTGGGTTGCGCAATGGAGCAACACCAGAAGGCAAACGAGGGAGGATCGCAGCAATTCGACGTCCAAAGGCTTTAGTATACACCCTGAGCTGCCCCACATACAGTGGCCACCCAAAAAATCTATAGGTCCAACCAAAAGGTTACTTGTAATTTTCCTGTTGGTTTAAAAACACGCAGAAAGGAACTTTGTCGGGGGGCTGTGTTGGAGGTGGTGAGCCAGTAGGAAAATTCTTCTGAACCCCCGGTTATTCTTAAAGCCTATTATAATAATATATATATAATACTATCTTTTACAAGATCTTTTGGGGAGAAGCAGATGAAAATCCACTGCTCAAAACTGAGGGGCTGAGATTTTTTCAGCCTCTGCTTGACTCCATGGCACCTCTTGCGGCCCCGTGAATCCACATACTGCCGTGCAAGCGGCACAGTTCCATTTCGCTGCTCCTGCCATGTTAGGTACCAAAAATGCCAAAAGGATTCCAATTATTAAAAGTGAATCAACCATCAGTTGATTGATAAGGCGGATGGGGAATACCATATTTTTTGCATGGCATGGTTCAATGTTTTTCCTTATTAACCAAAGTCTTTGGATAACATATTTCTGGTTAGGTTCTTGGGGAGAGAGGGACATATAGCTTCTCTAATAAAGCAAGAAGCTGTTAAACAGAACTCTTATTTTTAAACAATACCTTCCCCATACATGACTTAAAAAATAATCATTTCATAGATGCCTTCGCTTTGGGATCCCATATTAGATGATGAACAGATATGAACAGGCTGACCCATCCTTCCCAACCAAAAGAATATCCCTGAAGGGGTTATATGTTGAGACAACAAGTGGATAAGATCTTGAAACAGATGTGAACCGCTTTCCACACTTCCCATCCAAACGCCCACCTTGCGGAGTTTCCCAAGGCACAGCTGCTGAATGCCCAAGCTGTTGCACCACAAGTTGGTTGGCTTGCAGGAGTCAGCACCCCAGTGTCGCATCCACACCGGTTGCCGGTAAACCTTATGGCGGGACGGGTCGTGGCAAACATGATTGGGATGCAAAAAATCAATTCACCAAAACCCTCCAAATGATTGATATATAGTTCAGTGTTTATTCCTGAACGGTTTTAAACGCTTGAAGGATACATCAGACATCAAAATAATAGAAACAAATTCCCAAACAGCATAAATAATAACCAGTTACGCGGCAGATGTATTTGCAAAAGAACCGCCACTGTGGGAATGAGCGAAAATGTGAACCACTTGGTTGCTCCAATATGAAAATGTGGCCGAGGGCCACCAGGATCCAGCAAAGAATGATGGACCTGCAGCAGGTCAACCAAGGAATAATTTATGGGATTTATTTTTTCTGGTGGGGACCAGCCACTAAAAGTAACCATTGCATACCCAAAGGATATACCCCGCTTGCCCTTATTGTACCATCAAATTCAAGAGGGGTTGCATGAATACCCTGAAAGGCTAAGGTACCTGCAAGCAAGCAAATTACCGTCAGATACGGTCATTTTGGAAATGTCTCCCAGGGGCATCATGCAGCAACGCTTGGTCACTGAGGAAGCAAGAAAGCCCATCGAGCTGCACACCGGCGCCAGGACCCCAAGTGAGCTTGGCTCCAACTTCAGGATGGCAAGCATCGCCAACCTCAATCGGCTGATTACTATCCCCAAATGAAGTTTCTGACCAGAATGCTAAACATCAAGAAAAATAAAATCATATAGTTGCGATTGAAATCAGTTCGTATTTTCTCATCCCAATCAAGAGTCGCCATTCCAGGTGCTGTGAGCATGTCCATTGCCTTCCCCCCATACACTAAGTCAAGGCTGACCCCACAGTAGGATGCCAATCTGCATTCCTGGCTTACATGGGCTTCTCCTGCAAAATATTCCACAAATCGCCATTCCTTGGAGCAGGTCCCCACAAGGTGGTGACCAATACAACATATTATTAAACATATAATCCCTGTATACAATATATATATGTTTTATCTATATTATAGATGATGACCTCTTATTTATATGAGATGATATGATATATATATATATTACATGATATATATTTATATTATTATTATATTATATTATATTATATTATTATTATTATTATATATAAATATATGTTTATATTATTATTATATATATATATAAATAGATAAATGGATATGTCTCAAAATGAGGTGTCCGTTTTTGGTTCCAAAATGGCTACTTTCAGGGGAAAAACGGACACCTCATTTTGAGACATCCCCAAATAAATAAACTATAGAATCATATGATATTGGGGGTTGTAAATCAGCAAATATAAATGAAAGGCATCATGTGAGTAGCCAATACAGAATTTGTTTTTGACGAGCTGTGGGCAACATGTTGTTTCGGATCAAGGCACACGGGACACATTGTAATTGGTCGTCCACATCAATAACAGCAGGCAAATGGCCACTGCCTGCACACTGTTGATAAAGGTGCTGTTGCAAGTTGATGTTTCGTTCCATAGCAGGAGGTCTGAAGGGTATATACCTTAACCATCTATTGAAAGAACCAATGGTGCCACAAGTTTTTTTTTAATGCCAGCCTTTTGCATCCTTGCCACATATAGCGCATGGACCAAACGATTGATGTCCCAGGCTTGCATTGCACCACTTGCGGAAAATGTCACTATTGGAAATGCACCGTCGGAGCCAAAACAACTTGGAAATGTACGATCTACCATGCCCGACCCTTTCGAAAGATGATCAACCCCCAATGCTTCCAACATCCCATTTAAAAATCCAATCAAATAATGTAGAGGGTTACCCACCAGCACTTTCCAGATTTTCCAGCAGCAGCAAGCATGCCAGTCTGACGGCCACATCCAAGGTATCTGCGGAGATTTGCAGATCCGCGTGGCATGTCCAGGCCTCAGCGGAGGCAAGTGGAATAGCAGGACGTGAACCTGTGGGGATGGGCCATGTCTTGGGAAAAGTGTCATATTCAAATTTGATTTGATGAAATAGAATTTCTTAACAGATGGGAATGCCAAAAAGCATAGATTGCCAAAGCCAAACTTTTTGTCAGCCAGCTTCAGATTCAGCCGTGGGAATCACACACGGTGGCCCTGCAGTCTACAGTTTTGGACTGCAAGGATATTGGATCGCAATTTGCTATTGACTAGATTGTGTGCACAGCTCTTCCCCAACGATGCACACAACTAAAGATTTTCTCAAGACTTGACATGGTCAACCATGCTCCATGGAGAGGCAATTGCACAATGTGATAAGTCCATGCTGGCAAGAACATTGTTCGAAATGTTGAGATGGACATTACTTCATCCACCCAGGAGCCTAAGACCAACCATGTTTTGAGTTCTAACCCCTGCGCTTCTGTAGCAAAACTTCGATTGACTCAGCGAGGTCCGGTGAGAACCTGTCCAACTGCGGATGATCTTCAAGCCACTGAGCCTTTGTAGGAAGGCCGAGGTATTGACATGTGGTGGCAATATGTTCAAAACTATACCCAGGGAACAACTCATGCAGATTGTGAAATTGTGATTGTAAAAGAATTTCAGAAACCAAGCCCTTCCTAGCTTTTTTGGAGATGTATACCCTCAAAGTTGCAAACGTTGAGAACAAGCAACAACGTGATTGCAAATCACAATGTTGGTTGCCATTCCACCAGCCGCTTGCCCCTCGCTTGCCAGCCACAAGTGTTTGTCGTCCGACTTTCTTCCTGCAGCTGGTTTCACGCAGGGCTGCGAAGTGGAATCCCGGAAGTGCCTGTTACAATGGTGTCAAATCATGCTGAACTATAGATAAGGATTTTGTTATTACGAGGTGTCAGGTTACATGGCAATGCAACTCGAAGACATCATGCAATATGATACAATATGATGTTTGGTTTGTGAAACATGGGATTTCTTATCAGATGCCAAAGAGGCTCGCAAACCACAAGTTCCCTTCTTCCAGTAGGGCTCCAGGCGATAGGTTTGATTCGGCTTCATGAGCCTAGGTGAAACTTCTTTCTGATTGCAGTGGCAGGGGGAATTCAATAAACCAAAAACAGCTATGGGATAAAAACGTCATCCTTAATTTGTCCACGATGCCTGGGATATATATATATATACAATTATATAACTATATGCATATACTATATGTTTAATGTGTATATAATATATATATATAATGTAATTATATACATTAAAAATAGTTATATTATATAGTTCCCCACCCACTGGCCGACTCTGATAAATGACCGACCCCAGCAAAAATTACCATGAAAATCAGATATGAAACTTCTTGAACTCATCACGGTTTTCCACAGGAATGGGATCAGGAACATCACACTTGATCTGACGTGGCTTGCGCTTGGGTCTGGGATTGCTGCCCTCACCCCCCTCATCTGACACCCGCTTCCTCGATTGACTCTTTGCTTTTGCTGTGGCCTTGGCCTTGGGAAGTGCTGATCCACAGGATGGGGACACCTCAGTTTTCGCCTTGGCTTTTGCCTTTGCTTTGGCTCGGCGCTTGGGAGCTGGCTCTGGGGCTGCTGGTGGGCTTGGTGGATCGGTATGTTCTTCCCCCCCCTCAGGTGCCCCAACATGCTCGCCCTCACCTTCTGGGGGAGGCAAGGTATCTTCAACAGGTTCCTTTTTCCCACGGCCACGGCCACGGCCTTTGCCACGGCCTTTGCCACGCCCTTTGGAACTCCTAAGGTTCCGCTGGTCCCTCCTAGTGAGTAAGTTGTCCGAGTCTGGCATGGTCTCTAAAGGATCTTCTGGTTCCATCCTTAGGTCAAAGAACATTATGGATAAAAGGTTCCAATTCCAACCCTCCCCAGATAAACGATAATATTACCTTGATGGTCAAAGAACATTATGGATAAAAGGTTCCAATTCCAACCATCCCCCAATAAACGATATTACCTTGATGGTCAAAGAACATTATGGATAAAAGGTTCCAATTCCAACCCTCCCCCAATAAACAAAATTAAACAAATATAATATTACGTTGATGGCCTCCATGTTTTACATTTGGTTCTTTGAAATTTTTTTGGGGCTCAACACATGGTTCACCGAAGGCTCTTTGCATCACCAGGTTCACGTGCATCACCGGAGGCAGGTGCATCAGGCAACTCATCAGGCAAAGGTGTCCCGCTGATCTCCATCTCAGAGGCCTGCAAGGGGGAAAAAAACATAGCGATACACTTTGGAACCAAAAATGCAAAGTAAAACAAACAAATTCTGACACACCTCCAATTAAAACCGCATGCGCTTTTACCATCATGCACACTCCCCTCCCAACCTCCAACCCTGGCTCGTTCGCGCTGTGGCAACTCGCTGGAATTGCCTAAGGAAGCATGCAGAACAAAATGGAAAAAACAATATTGCCATTGTTCTTTTAGTTTCGCCCACTATATTTGTAACTTTTGTGAACAGGAGATATACTGGGTGGGTGCAGTCTAGGGACATCAGGCTCTTCAATGGCAAAAGGAATGGTAGGCATAGAATCAGCAGGAGATACATCAGGTGCTCCCACCTTTGCGCGAAGCTTTGCCTTGACCAACATGAATTTCTCCGCTGCAGTCGCATCAACCGCGTGGTCTGTAGAACCTCCAGCGCGCAAGTGGGTTGGATATCATCAGATTACCCTATAACAGTTTTTCTTACACCTGTATTACCACATAATAATAGTTAAACCTTATATATCATATCGCTATTGAATCCTCATTATTCTTCAATGATGTTTTCCAACAGGAAGCCTGAAGCCCCTTCTTTGTCAGCAACTTCATCAAAGGCTTTTGAAAGGTCTTGACGGGATAGGTCATCTTCATCATCAGAAATGCAAACCATTGCATTGTCTTTGGGGGAATCCTCAACTGTTGATGGGACAGATTTTTCATCTATACCGGGCTTTGCATCACGCATGGCATTGTGATACGCCCAATATGCATCAGCTTCTGGGGTCAAACCACGGGGCCGTTGACTTTCATCAATGGTTGGATCCCATGTAACTTGAGGACATGAGGGGCGTAGGGGGTCCCATTTCGGGCTGGCAGGTTCCGCACGTTCTGCTTCTGGAGGTGTGCTGGGACTGGGAACTGGGCTTGGAGCTCCTTCTGGTAAGGTATCTGCAGGTGGTGGGACGGGACCTGCAGGTGGCGTGCTGGGCACAGGCGGTTCCTCACCAACAGCATTATCACCCCCAACACCAACATCATTGGGAGCTGGGGCATCAGGCAAAGGGTCGGCTGGCAGGTCTCTGTCTCCCCGGCAGGCTTGGAAAGCATCCTCAGATCTTAAAATGTGAGTAAACCACCAGCATCCCCCAACAATACCAACATATGATAACAAAAAACACGTTTATATATAAATGAAAACTGCCATGGGCCAACCACAAGAAAAGAGTCTGCCAGAGCATGGATTTCATCATACCTTTGGTTCTGGGCTCGCTTGCGGAGTCTAATGACATGGTTGGACATCTTCTTCATGGTCCAGGCAGCAGCCTTACACTTCGACTCAGACACCGGCACCTACAGGGATGAGATATGATGAGATTTATTTCTGTTTGTTCATATACATGTTCCTACTGAAACCGTTGAAACATGGGGGACACAAAACATATATGTGCTTTAAACAACACCCACTGGCCTTCCAAGAGTCGGCCACAGCCATGATGATCCACTTACCCCGCCCAACTTGTAAAACATCCTCATCCAAGCCCCATGCTGCTGGCACGTGCTTGATGAAAGTATAGTTGGCTTTCACGGACTTCTCATCAATTTCACCCTCATCCCCCGGCCAAACACAGAGAGAGCCCAATGAGGATGCCCTGGATTTAAGGTCAGCATCATCCTGCAAAGCCTTAAGTGTTTTCAAGGTGAAAACAAACACATTCGACTTAACCTATTGGTTCCTGTTGCCCCAAGCCACTGTAAAGAAAGACACATATAAAGACGCATAGAAAATATGGAACCTTTGTGTTTTAATCCAAAGATCATAGTAGAGCGTTTTGATGGCCTCAATGCTTGTTGCATTCAGGGACTGCAGCTCATTCGGCACACCCCCTTGAAAGTGATCTTTAGGTCCAGTCTCCCCTGAAAACTGCCTCCTCACCATGGGATCAAATCCGCAGTCTTCGAATCCCCAATAGAGCCAAATTGCTATAACGTGTGCAATGGTGCAATGTATCTTCAATGCTTTCGAAGATTCCATCAAGTGTTTTCAGACTAGCACGATTGATGCTGCTTCGATCTCTGATTCTTCAGCCGGATCAGTTAGTAAAGCTGGGTTTCCACGCTCTGCCCTCTGAAAGGGTCATGCGGCCGATGCCCATGACTGCGGTCTATGGGGTTTGACTAATGAAGGTTATTTTCGATGGCTATATGGGCCCACTGGCCCGCCCAGTTGATCAACATACGAGATTCCAAGCATGCTGATTGTAAACCTGATTGAGTACAATAGATTTCAATACATCTTGAAAATTCAATGATCATATGTGATCCCAAGTGGACCTTGAGGCATGAGCAGGGCCGCAGAGTTGCACCAGTGCTCTTGCAACATCTTGCGACCAAAAAAAGTTGGCCGACCAAAAAAAGTTGGGTTTGACAGAAATTGTTGATCATGACCAAGGGAAGTTGTTCACATCGCAAAAAGAACATCATTCGAGAGACCAGGTATAACAATATATGTAAATAATAATACATATATATATATATACAGATGTATGTATGTGTGTATGTTGTTTCGGTTGAACATCAGAATGTTGTTCGGGAAAACCTATAGAGAGAGAGAGAGGGATGGGCAGGGTGCAAGACCACAGACTCCCGCCCTTGCCGACAGGTAATGTGAGCCATGGCAACCTGTAAGAAAAAACTGGCAGCGGTGGTGACATCACATTTTGAAACTGGATGACTAGCAACATCTGGCAAAGTGTGACCCTTTGGAAACGTCACCTGGCAATGGTTACCCTCTGGTAATCAAACATGGCTAGCTGGGAAATCCATTCTAAATGGAGGTTTGAGTGGGAAAATCATCTATAAATGATCTATAAATGGTGGATGTTCTATTGCCATGTTTGATTACCGGGAGGGTGTTTACCCTCATTTTAGGATTATGTTCTCATGAAAGATCGGGATCACACATTCCTTTGTCAAATGAGGGGAGCTTCACATTTCGAAGCAACTTATATCCAAAAACCTCACATGTAAAGATGGTTAAAAAATTATGCTGGAAGATACCCTCTGGTAAACTAACAGATTGCTATTGAAAATGGCCATAGAAACAATGTACTTGACCCTTTAAAATGGTGATTTTCCATAGTTATGTTAGTTTACCAGAAGGTAGATATTGCAATTTGAAAATCGGTCCGAAAAAAGCTTGCAAAGGTGAATATAGCACATACTGTCGCCTTTGCGAATGCTACACCAGGACCTACCATAGGGCCATAGGGACAGAACATGATCCATATCAAGGTGTACTCAACAAGACGAGGAAACCCATGAGTCAGGTTTGGAATTTGTGTAACTTTCACCTGGCATGAGGATATCGTTCAACTCACTTGGAGAGATTGCGGACCTGTGATGTAGCACCAAAGCTGCGTGGACATGTAGATTTACAGCCTGCGAGCATTTTGCGGCCTTGGAGTCTGAAGACTGTGGGTTTTTGCTGAGAACATGTCGTCCCCGATCTGTGAAACATCAGGGCTGGGTGAAGTATGTTGTTTCCTTCTGGCTCCATGGTCCATGCAGGAGCTTATGATCAAAAATTCGGATGCCTTAGTGAGTCAATACACATCGGAACAGTTGTAAACATGACAGTTGACGCGTCTCTGGATGAGATTTTGTTGTACCGTCTGAACGGTGCAAATGGTGCGGAGCTAATTTTGGCCTGTGTGTTGTTGACCTTGCCGTTCTCATTTTGTTTGCGTTTAGCAGTGATTTTCTGGTGAAAACACTGGGCCACTCCGCACTATTTTGGTGAAAATTTCTGTTTGATCCACATGTGCTAGGCTTCAGATTTTCTGGTTCGCCCCAGTGGGTGGGCAGCTACCTCTCTGGAACAACCCAAATTATGAAGTTTGGCAGTCGAACTTTCGCCTCGGATGACCCTGAAGTTTCAGCTTGAAGTTGCCGATACAAGGCTTGATCGGTCTACTCCACCAGCCTTGGCTTGTGAGATTGATGCTTTGTTCACGAAGCTGTACAAGGGATTGTAGTAGTTTCAAAGTTGTTTGTCTTCCATCCGTAGTACATGACAAGATGATCACGGTTGGCAATATTTTGGGGATGAGGGGCTCAAGCACCAGCGAAGGCCACTCCATTTAGATCCCAAGATCATAGAAGTCCAGGGGTATATATATATATATATACTCACTTCACGATGTATCAAACCTATCTGGTTGGTGGTTTGGAACATTTTTTATTTTCCATATATTGGGAATAATAATGCCAACTGACTAATGTTTTTTCAGAGGGGTAGGTCAACCACCCACCCGTAACATATTTCAAGTTGCACCTTCATATTGTTCCAGATTTATATAAGCATCGTTGTTGTTCACCAGCTAGATTATATAATTGGATCAAATTATCCATTGGGACGCACCGCAGCCATCATCGAAGTGGGAGGATGGTCCCGTATTACGCCATGGTAGCCATAATATTTCGTGGCATCATCAATGGCCATGACTCAGGAACCGATTCATTGCAGGTACCTATAGGGACCGATATAAGGCCTATATACTGTAAGGCTTATGCAAGGGAATATCCCATGCATCATCATCACCATTTAATTTATTAGCATATACAGAATATTTAACAGTTTGCTGTGGAAAATGGCCATAGAAATAGTTGATTTTACTGAACTTTATAAGTAGTGATGTTCCATTCCGCTATGTTAAATTACCAGAGGGTACAAAATGTACACCATGATTCTTGGATGTCTTAGACGGGTAGAAACAAATCCTAATTAGTCTTTTGGTATCAATGGGATTATCTACGTTCACCAGCTAAGAATTTGTCATTTTGTGCAGGGTATCTAAGATTGGCCATGATGATAGTAAATGATGTACCATCTGGTAAACTAACATAACTATGGAAAATCACCATGTTTAATCGGTAAATCAACTATTTCTATGGCAATCTTCTAAGATCGGCCATGTTATTTTCGCATCACCCAAGAACATGATCCGAAAGAGAGAGGCTGCCTTACCTGTCCTGGGGACTGCCAGGATCATTGTGCAGCGGCGTTTTTGCGAAGCTCTCTGGGTGATGTCGTGACTGTGTTATCAATGGGATAACCTACAAAAATGGTGAGTTATTGGGATTTCAGGGGCTTTGATTCATGGAATCTGATGGAATTTCACTTATTTTGGGTAAATTTGATCACGACCTCGTTCTGTCCAGGAATGATGATTAGGATTCGGGGAATTATCCCAATGCTGGGCCCTATTTCAGCTTAGTGCCGTGCTTGCCATGGTGCAATCTGTTGGACAATTGGCTTTTAACCACTTAAAAAAAGTGAACCACGAAACTTTGATATTTTTGAACCACGAAATTTTGAAAAAATTGAACCACAAAACATTGATATGAATGGGATTTATAACCAACTAAACCAACTATTGTCAGAACATTGGTTTCTTTTCTCAGTTTGGGGCCATCAATCCAATAAGAGGGACTCACCAAAGGAAAGCCAAAGAAACGTTTCACCAATTCATGGCACACTTGAAATTTGGATTCCGAGAAATGATCATTTCTTTCTAGGAATCATTTGGGCTGTCTTAAATTTGGAACCCCATTTCACTTCATGGTTTATCATATCAGTTGGGGCGATCCCGTTCGAGACACACAAGTGAGGCAATAGAAATGTGTTTGGAAAATGATTTTTCCTACAAGTTGCGCTTCCCCTAGCATGATAGCCCAAGCAAATAACGTGCAAATAACGTGGTTGCTCGTTGGGTTTACGGGAGAAATTCGTATCGCTCATGGATGTTCATGGGGGTTATAAACCAACTTACCTCTGGCGGGCATGCTGTATGTTGGTTGGTGGTTCTATAGATGCATGTTCCATCGGAAAAATCATATCAACTCTCCCAGATGCTGCGCGGCACCGTGAAACCAGAGAGATCCAATCTGTTCCCCGTTTGAGTTGGCTTCTCGGAAGTACCACCAGAGGGGATGAAACTCAATACCGATTCTTTTTGGCCCATGATCATTCACTGGATGTTTCAATGGGCCAAAGTTCATCCGATTATCAAATTTCCAGGCTTCGGACGAATTTCGGGGGGAGCCTGGGAGTTGAAACTAAGTTGTGGCTGAAAGCTTGAGATTGAAGGCGGTGGATGCAGGTCCAACCTTTGGTTTCCGACTCTGATGGGTTGTGGGTGTCCAAGAAATTCAGACCACTTCGAAACCACAGGAAACCACGGGTCAGGACTGCATGAACAGCCGCGACCCACTCGGGTCTATTCCTGACTTTCATGACATTTGCCAATTTCGTGCCTTCACACCTTTGGGTCAGGGCACGTCTTTTGTCCCAAGTGCCGCGCGTTCAGGCGCGCATGAACAGCCGCGCGAGGCACCTGTTCTGGCGCATGAACCACGTGCCAACCAGTGCGAAAGATTCACCGCACTGAACAAATCGGTGCATTTTAAGCTGTTTTGGACTTGGCATCAACCGACACCGCGAGCACCCCTCGGGGCACTTTCCAATGGTGTTTTTTGATGCGACATTTCCCGCGGCTTTGCCGCCGTCGTCGTCTTTGAGATGTTCTGAAGTTCAATGAATTTGACTTCAGACGATTGGTTTGTCTCGCGACCATCCCATCCAGATCTCCATGAAAACTGATGTAAACGTGGCAAGGTCATCCCGGCTTCAGCCAAGTCTCAGCCTGCCCAAAAAGCATCAAAAATCAATTTATGATACCATGGAAAAACCTCTGGAAATCCACCATAGATACCATAGCCATGGGAAATCTACGATTTATAGATGATTTTCCCACGCCCAAACAAAGGGAGGTGTCCCAGTTTCCCATTGTCATTCTTTTTGGAGGGTATATCAATGAAACTGGTTAGTTGCCTTGTTGCTTCCCCGCCATATGCAATAATGTTTTTTATCGATGATCAACATGTTTTGTTTCAGGAGAGTGGCTCAACAAACAAGTGATATGATAGCCTTTGGGCCAAGGATCGGACCAATGCTTAACACGACCTCAATCAACTTTTCTTTTACTAGAAAAAGCCTGAGAAAAAAACGCATTAAAACAGACTTTGGGGGATCTAGTGTTTATGTGGGGAAACATCTTCAAGTTGAGTCCTGCCTTTTAATAAGTAAGCTTTTTTCGGATTTACCATGGACCAATATTGGGTAATCCTTGCTTGGGTGTTGTTCCCCTCTATATATTTTCTCATTTTTATGGAATTTATGGATATAACAATTATTAGCATACATCAACCTGGGTAAATTTTAACACGACCTCACTGCTCTCCCTCACTGGAATCATGATTAATAAGAGAAATCATCCCCTTTTATGACCTTAATTCAGGTTCGTGAAATACATTTACCCAGATCAACCTCATCAGTCGAAACATATGTTTCGGTGATTATCTGAGATTGGCCGCGACAAGAAGTTATGCAGAAGGATGTTGTGTAAGTAGGCTTGAAGCTATGATCCTTGCTACATTTCGTTGCAGCATCAATCTGATGGCCGTCTTCCTTTTCGCTTGAAACGATCCGAACACAACCGCCACTTGAAAAGACATCGAGGCTGGTATTGATGGACTTTGAATGGAAGACCAAAGAATTTTGTTTTTGTTTTTTTCCAGTGATTCATGGAGTTTCAGATTGTTTTTTTTCTGTTTTCGTTGAGTTTGTGCCAGCCGGAAATGGAGAACATCGCTCCCGAAGTGCTTTAGCAGGCACAGATACCAAGCAACGGCTGCGACGCCAAGCGGCGCAGCAAACCGCCAAGCACATGTGGATAGCTGATGCCCGAAAGGTTCATGATCACAGAAAAGACGAATCGTTGTTGGTTGGGCATCACGAATTATGCGACTAAGTCTGGTATATGAAAAGATCCATATAGTATTTCTCACAGGCAATTTCAGTAGTCTCATTCTCGCACACTGCGGGTCAGAAAGCGCTGCTTTTTTGGTACGCAGTTTTGGGGGACGGAATGGCTGAGAGGATTATATGACTGAATGCTACAGGTGAGTTTATACATATATATATATAGTATTAATTATAATATATATATATATATTTATTTATATGTGTGTGGGCAAATTTGATCATGACCTCACTGTTCTCGCGAAACCTGGAATCATGTTTTTTTAAGAGGAATCATACCCTTTTATGGCCGCAAGTTTCAGATTGGTGAATAATTATAATTTGCTCAGATATATAACATATAATATATGTCTTTCATGTCTTTCATCATAATCCTGCAAGGTATTATTCTTGTGGCCCCGAATAATGAATCTTCCACGAAGGAAAAGCTCCGCATCATCAAACATGTGAAACTGGGACATCAAATACCCTCTGGTAAACTAACATAACCATGGAAAATCACAATTTTTAATGGGAAAATCCACTATAAATGGCCATTTTCAATAGCTGGTAAATGGATTTTCCCTAAAATGGGGGATCTCCAAGTCACCATGAGTTGACAAATCCTAAAATGGTCCAATGACTTGGATGATTTGGTGGGAAACCTTCCCTTGATGGTGTCTTTTCCATGGGAAAATGATGGGGTTGACTTGGCAAAAACTCGAATTGATACTGGTAGCCTCAGCACGAATGACTACTGCTGGACTGTGAAAAATTGGAGGGGCACCATTTTTTGGAAACAGCATGGTTTTTAGGGTCGCCCGCCATTTTTCATCAACCAGGGTCTATTTCTCCAAGGTTGACATGATGGACCCAGCAGAGATTCAGGACAGACCCTTTTTTTGCCCAGTAGACAGTAGGCATATGCGATCATGTTGGGTATATCATGATATACCCAAAAAACATTGAAACATTGGATTGGGATTCGAAGGATAGATCCAACTAAAGTTGCGTGAAGTTAGCATAGTAAATCTGGTTCGTGGCGGGTTCAAACATGTGTTTTATGTTCAACCATACTCAGCATGATCCAAATCGACTTTCCTATTTTTCAGATGGGTGGCTCAGCCACCAGATCTGCAAATCTTCATATCTTGGTTTCCAGATGATTTTGGTCGTCAGAAATTCCACCAGATATCCATGAAATCACCATTTTTGCTGGTACCCTCTGGTACTTAAACATAGCTATGGAAAATCACCATCTTTAATAGGTAAAGCAATGTCAACCAACTACAAATGTGCCATTCTCAATAGCAAACTGTTAAATTACCAGAGGGTAGACATTTATAACAGTTATACCATTTATAACATTTATACCAGATATCCATAAAAAGTCACCATTGAATTCCCATTGAATCACAATTTTTCATCACCACTAAATCAGCATTTTTGCTGGTAAATCACAATCTTTAAGCCAATGTTAACCATTCTGAACCATTAAATCACCATCTTTATCACCATTAACTCGCCATTTCTAGTGGTTAAATCACCATTTTCCTATGGTTGTCCTATTGTTTTCCTATGGTTGACCATTAACTTACATTTTTGTTGACAAGTCATAGCACCGTAGCTGTTGCAATGTCCAAGTCACTACTGCCGGTCGCACCAAGCTCCGCGTGCTCTGCGTGCTCCGCGCTCCTTGACAGCTCCGCGCCGCCGCGGCGGCAGGGGGCAGCACCGTGGCGTGCGGCGGCCGGTCGCTGGAAGACAATGGGAAATGTGGCCATATGGGGGATTCCATAGTCATGGGGGTACCCCAAAATGGATCTGGTTGGTGGTGACTGGAACATGGCTTTTATGACCCATTTATTGGGAAGAATCATCCCAACTGACTTTCATATTTTTCAGAAGGGGTTCAAACCACCAACCAGGGATGGTTTATAATGGAAAAGCCTATTAAAATGGATGATTTAGGGGTACCCCCATTTTAGGAAACCTCTATCTATTGGGGAAGATCCGGAAATTTCCTAAAAAGGGGGATCCCCAAGTCACCATAGCTTTCAGTACTAAAATGGTCATCCATGACTTGAACGATTTGGGGTACCCCGATTTTAGGAAACCACCATATGGGGGTTAACCAGCTAAGCAACAACAAAAGGACATTATATCCCATCATTAGCCCATGATTATCCCATTATCATCCCATATTCATGATAATATGTCTCTCATATGGTGGTTTCCATAAATGGGGTATCCCCAGAATGGTTTGTTTATAATGGAAAATCGTGAAATTGAATGGATGATTTAGGGTTACCTCCATTTTAGGAAACCCCCACTATGGGGGTTAAGCAGCCAATTTATGCGGGGTGAAGCAACAAAATAAGTATATTTATAGGGATATAGATGGGATATGGTGCCCCTCAATTATGTTAGTTGGTTTATCAACCCAATACAATACCTATATGTCTATCTATATATTATATACATATGATATATATATGTATATATATATATATCATACATACATATATATATATCATGTATGTATATATATATATATCATATATCTATATGTATGTATATATATATCATATATCTACCATAAACCTAATTAGTCCAATTACTTACAAATCAACTTACCTATTTGTGGGGCACCACATTGTAAGGATAGCCTTGGCCAAAAGATATGAAGGCCATGGGAGTTGCATAGGGATGATGAAGGTTTAAGCAAGTTCATGGGGTAAACCGCCTGGTTCCCATCAGTGGTATATAAAACCTTACATATTTGAAAGCTATCTCCGTATTTCACCCAGATTGAATCACTGCCAATCCAACGTGGCACACCGGCGATGATGTGAGGCTTACCTGGCTTGCCAGATGCCAAACACCACCGTGACATCGAAGTGGTATACCCCATTTAATCATAGATTATGGACTATAGATATCTATATATAGATATATGCTATTGGGGTGTATATATATATATATGTATGTATGTATCTATTCCTAGATTTCCCACTGCCATCACCTTTGCTCAGGTCAAGGTGTTCCCCTGGCCGCCTGCGCCACGCTGCTCCCCCTTGCTGCGTGCCGTGCACGTCCTCCACGTGCTCCCGTCGGCCGACGCTTCGGTGCGCAGCGTTACGTTGCCATGGCGTGGCAACGGCCGATGGCTGGAGACTTGGCCTGCTTGGACGTGCATCCCACATAGTAAATGGTTGATAATCTAGATATGACCCATATAATCCCATGTATATATATATATATATATAATATCTATATATATATATATGTAGGGATATTCATATTCCACATATATATATATATATAGATAATATTATATATATATATATAATTAATCCATATCTAGCCATCGATGGGCCTTAAACATCAAACATCAACATCAACAATGAAGCGTTTTAAGACGAAAAATCAGGATTTGAAGCAGCGGAACGAGGTTGTTGATATGAAAAGGGCGATTGTTTTGCATCGTTTGGCAGAAAATGCCAAGAAGAAATGATAGTTTAGCAATAAACATAGGGATTCAACCAGTCAAACTGGATGAGTTCAGGATAGGACCAAGCAAAACCATAGAAAAAGTCGTATCATGGTGACTTATCCCACGAATCGTAAGTAGGTTAGTTCACCCTCGTTATTTCAATGGATGAATCGCCTACGATCATCGTGAAATCACCAGGGTGAACTCGCCAGGATGAAGCGAGCGAGTTCGCCACGGTTTTCCCTGGGGGATGGTCATCTAGTCATGAATCCATTGGGCGTTAGAGATCTTTATATAGATTATAAATATACGTGTATATATATATACACCTAGGATCACCTAGGTTGATATGATATAATAAATATTATATGGAACCTTATTTATAGGCCTATTATACCTGTTATACCTATTTGATAATGGTTGATAATGGCTGATAACGGATGAAAATGGCATATAATAGTGATTAATGTGACTATAATGGTGATCTAACGTGACTATCTGGGTAAATTTAATCACGACCGAAGCCTGTTCTCCCGAAGCCTGGATGGTTTTACTCAGAGATATGAAAGGCTTAACCATCTGTTTCCTGGGAAGATTCACTATATAATAATTCACTATTATGATGTTATGGGTATACCTATTTTATGGAAAGATTCCCATCTAGGAAAAACCTTAGACATTTGTTGCAGGCTATCTAAGATTCACGTTATGTTATGGGATGCCTATGCCCAGTTCCTGGCTCATATATCCACGTTTGCGGACCCGAACAGCTCAAAAACGTTTGGTGTCCTCTTATCTTCATGAATTATGGGGTTCTCTAAGGACCATTGGTGATGTAACTATTGATAAATCATATCATAAATCATGTTATTCATGTTGGTGAAACTGGTGTCGCTTCGTGATCTTAAATGGTACCCTCTAGTAGACTTTTACAGTTTGCTATTGAAAATGACCATGTAGTTCGTTGATTTACCCATAAAAAATGATGGTTTTCCATAGCAAACTGTTGGTTTACCAGAGAAAATCTAGGAAAATCGCCATGCACCGTGGATGATGAAAAAATCGCTCGTCTCACTGGCGAACTAAGGCTCGGATCTGCCTGAGCCTTTGCGAGCCACCGATGGCCACTAGAACTGGCGCTGGTGAAACATGTTCCAATGTGGATGATCTGGAGTAGCTGGTTGGTTAGATACTTTGGTATAGTTTGGTACAACTTATTTTTTTGCTAATCGTAAAATGTACTGCCCAGCTAGTTTTTTGTTTTTTTTGGCAGGTATCTAAGATTCACCATGTGATATATAGCAACTCCAGGTGATAGGAAAGTTGGAAACCTGGAAAAGATCGGGAAAACATCATTTGGAACATCCTGGAAGCACTCTTCTATCTTTTTGGGGATTATATAGTGTATATAGTGGTGTATAATGGTTGAGTACGATGATTTAACCATCATTTGTAACGCTTCAACCACCAATAGGGATATACTGCGCAAACAGGTTTGTCCCCAAAAAATGAAACGCAAAGCGTCGCAAACAGAAGCTTAACCATTAAATATGAAATGCTCAACAACTGGAGTTTGAGGCCCCCCTTTGTTTGGAAAATTTTGGGACCCTGTCGTTCCCCCTTTGTGTTTCAGGACAAAACATCACTGATTGGTTGGCCAAAGCCCCATAGAAGGTGATAAATTTACAGCACAGATCACCAGGTGTCGGGGTAAAGCTGTGTATCATGGTATGTGTTGCAGATGTTTTTCACGACTTCGATTAACATTGATAGACTATATACTATATGTACTTTATAATATGATACGGATTAATGTTGAAGGTCCCATGCATTTTCATGGTTTCCTTGGTTTTCCTAGTTTCATGACAACGTATCCTAACATCATCACTCAATGCATGGACGTGCATCCCACTTAGTAAGTGGATAATGTCTAAATTGTTCATTCTACTTAGCCAGTGAGCCAGTTGACTCCAGTTAGAAGTGCTTAACCCTACTTGTCACACGTATAACCAGGGATGTAGCCTATTTGCCAAATGGCATGGTAACCATCAGATAATCCACATATATATACATAATTATCATACATATGGAATATTCATCAATATTCCTAATTCTACATGAATTCTATATGCATTCTATATAGGTTATGGATCATTAAAAGCCACTTTACCGCGGCATCGAGGCTTGCGGCCGGAGGCCGCACCGGAAGAGATCTTCACCAGGGATACCATCACAAAGAGGATGCCCAAGATCTTAGTCCCTTGGAAATTCATGGGAAGGACGTGCGGAAAATGACTGCGTGGAAACTTATGGCTGATTCAGGGGTTGTTGACCTTTTAAGGATGAGAAAACTTGTGGTTGAAGAATGGTACAGTGAAATCATGTGTTTTTTTTTTAAGCGGATATATGATGCAGTAGAAATTTGATGTAATGGGATATAATAGGGAGATAAGGGGAAAAAGGAGGAGATATAATGGGATATAGCTCAGAAAGTGTGGTTCAAGCCTCAAGAATGGGGGGTTTAAGCCTCAACAAGCATGGGTGTAAAACAAAAAGCAATGGTGGAACGCCTCTAATTGGACGGTTATGTATGGGTTTTTCGACCTGTGAGTTTTCCATTCTGGATCTGGATACATCATGGCTTTGGAATGGGGATATAGTGGGATGACCGAGCTTGTATAGGGAGAATTCGATGCCAGTTGGTGTAATTTTCATGATGTAATCCATCCACTTCGATCTTTGAAGATGTGGGCAGGCACTGAAGTAAGGAGGCACCCTCTAGCAATCCAACGCGGCAAATTTTCCAAAACCAAAATTTTATAATGCGGTCAAAACAATGCCATAAACCACCCATGACTGGGAAGGGTTTATACCACCTATTTATGTTGATGAGTGGGGGATGGTGCAAATGGCATTGTTTCAACAACATTCGATGATTGTCCCAGCTATAAACATCCATTTAGTGCGAGGATTTCCCAGCCACGTTTGACGATGAAGGCTATTGGAACCATAATTTTACCAAAAAGTGCTGCCGTCCACTGTGTGGCCGTGGCGAGTTCTCTCTTTTCAGATCTCTCAGAACTTCAATAGTGAAAGCCATCTATAAATCCAGGAAAATCAAAGTGCCACTGATCCTGTTCAACATATCCTCATGTTTTTCAGCATCAAAAATATGTCTGTTGGTTGATTTAGTCAGCTCCATGTTTGGTGACTCAAACCTGGATTTTTCTGGCTTTAACCATGAGTTTTGATGGGTGAATTTCTGTGTGAGAAGCCCTGAATCAAAGGGTACCAAGCCCTGAACAAACGCAGGGGAAACTGCGGAGTTACCATCAATGAAATATAAACTCATCACCGAGCAAGAGCCACGCCACTACGATGTCTACTGCATGTGTCCTTGCAACGACCCGAGGATTCGGTGCTTTTGAAGATGCCCAGCGACTTCAAAATCCCTCCGGTGCTGGAGGGAGTGAAGAGACTTCAAGAGGAGACAATCTGGTGAATTTGATGGTGATTTAATGGTGATTTAATGGGTTTTCATAGTAATTTAATGTATATCAATGTATAATAATGTATAATGCATAATATTTCATTTAATGTATGATAATAATGATGATATAATGTATCAGGGTGATTGAATGGTGATTCAGTGGTGGTTGAAAGGTGATGTAATGTATGATGTTGATTTTAATGGTAATTTAATGGTGATGGCATAGTGATTTAACGGTGATATAATGTATAATGGTGATTGACTGTAATCGTGATTTAATGGTGATGTTTAATGGGAAATCATGGAAAATACTGAGGAATAATTGAAATGGGGATAAAGCTTAGGAAGTGGGTTAAAAGATCAAGAATCGGTGTTAAGCGATTGACACGGAGGGTAAACGAACCACAGTCAATGGTGGAAAACCTCCAATCTTCCAGGGGCTGATTCTTTTTTATGGGTGATGAATGGAAATATAATGTCAAGAGACTCGAGCGTGCACATATGAAGATGCAACCTCAATGAATGCGTTGTCAACCCATGATAATCCCTATGAATATCCCCATCCCATCTTATGCAAACCCAATCAAATTATGGCTTGCTGGAAAAGTCCCGCATTTTGAATTTAGTTCAATGGTTTACCAATTCAAATGCCAATTATACTCGAGGATGTTATCATATTTTCCCATATTTCCCATTCGATCCATTTTTCATGGAGATTTCCTGACTCCAAGGTGAGGGCCCCTGATGGGTTTATCAACCAAGAAACATTGCTGGGGTGGCCTCGCCTTGTAGCTGGATATATCTCATTATATCTCATTATACATGAAACACCATTAAACACTATTGGATCCCATTAAATCCCTGTTCCATGGTACATAGATGTACATAGTCAAGAATCATCCATTGAATGGATAGCAATAGTGGTTTCTGGTTGATCCCATTAAATTCCCATTAAGTCTGTAGTGTTTCATGGAGATTTCCCACAGGAGATGCGAAGCGATGCGCAGCTGAAACTGCTGCAGAGCAGCAGCTCCAGAGTGGGCGCTGACTCGTGGAAGCTGGGATATCACTTAATGATTAATGAGATTGATGGTGTTAAAATAGGGATATTTATATCATTTTATATCTATAATTATATATATACATATTGATATACAATTATATATATCATTAATTATATACATAATTATATATATATTATAAATACTATATCATACATAACTTTGACATGAGATGATATGAATCTAAGTATCTAACCGTTTGCATTTTTTTAATATCTATCCAGTGGTGCACGGAGAGAGCGGGGAGCTGAACGTTTGGGGTATCCATGTACTAGCCATGGTGAGCCTTTTGGAGCGAAGAGTTTCCCAACCACGCGATAGGGCTGGATTTTCTGAGGGTTAGGTTTAAGTTCCCAGACCTTCAGAAAAGATGCGAAGATGATGGTAGAATATGGTAGATGTATTATATGTATGTGGACTGCCCCAAAGGTCTGAAAGTTCTCCATTTTTGGGACGTTGGGGAAGATGAATCACTAGCCAGTTCCCAGATAGCTACCCTGCTGCTGAGGAATCCGCATTTGTCGGAATTTATTGAAAGAGGCTACTTGGAGGCACAGTTGTAGCCCAAAGTACTGGGGGATCTTCTTTTCCACACAGTTTTAAGGTCTGCACAGATGGATTTAAGGCATACCGACTCGAAATGGTCAAGTTGACGCAGCAGAAATTGATTCTGTAGAATCTTGGATAGTGGCTGCTCAAACCCGAAGATCAATGGATTAGTTTAAGGGAAATCTACAAGAAATCATCATTTTTCCCATGAAATAAGGGGTTTTCCTGTAAAATTTCCCTTAAACAAATCCATTGAAAAGAGAAACAAACATACTGGACTGGAGGGTTCTCTTTAACATCCACCAACCGCAATTCGTTGGCCCGGTCAAACTGAGTCAAACTCATCACACGCGGAGAGTCAAATGCGCCGTGTCACCTAGGTGAGGGATGGCATACGGCGCCATGGTGGTTAGTGGAGAACTACATGTACAAGCGATTGCTGGAGGAGACACTCTTGGGGTGATTTTGCCATTCATGACCAGCTGGTCCGAGCTGGTCCGATGGCTTTTGGGTAACATGGACTTCCAGCAACGAAATCTGGCAGGTTCGCTAAGTTTGACCGCCTTTTGTCCAGTTTGTTTGCAAGGATTATAGTAGGGCAACGGAGCAGCACTTTGGAGAAATCTTTGGATCTCCAGCTGATCAGTGGACCACCCGTTGACCAACAACGGAGCTTTTTGGCTGGCACAAGTCATGAATCTCAGATGCAGCAGTCATGATGTTGGAATATGACACAGGAAAATACAGGAAATGATAAGTCCTGGCCTTCACAAAAACCAATTGATACCTGGCTGAGACAAATTGCCAATGTTGCGCAGATTGCCGGTCATGGAAAGACAACCTGGACTGATGGGATTCACTCAACAATGATGGGAATGTCACAGGCAACAGTCAACCCGGGATTTCAGGCCCATGATTGGCAGGAAACAAAAACAACATGACCTAGCCGTATATCGTCATATTTGTACATGTAACATTCAACATATCTTAGATTTCCATCCATACATGCCAACATTGGCAACAGAAAAACATCTATATCCGTCCATAGATCCATATCCCACTATAACCCCCACAAAGATGCTTAAAGGATGTTAACCCACTAAAAAGCTGTGATATATATATATATATATATGTATATATATATATATCATTTTCGGACATTTTTTTGGTGTGCTTATCCAACGCCATGGAGCTCCCTCTCCGCGCCGTCCCATCCTCCTCCGCGCCCCTCCGCGCCGGACCGGATCCAGCGGCGGGGCGCATCACAGCGGTGCGGACGGCAGCGCAAGCGCGGAACAGCCAGCAGAAATGGTTGGTAGCTGGGCAGCCCTTCATGATGAATATCATTTATATATACATGCATACACACATACATATTTATATTCATATAATTATATATGTGTATATATATATACATAGTGGGATATGATACATAGCTCGAATCATTGGTTAGTTGCTTTTCATGTTTACAAGACTTGAATAGATATAAAACTGTTCTTGGATAATTTCACAAGTTTAATCATCTAAGGTTGTTTATGACTAGGTTGAATGTTGGGTTTTGGATGATTATAACTCTAGGTGGATGGGGTATCCATCATGCTTGATTGCAACATGCAATATAGAAAATTCAGTCAAATGATGAAGCAAAGTGGTAAAGCCAATAGTTTGCTTTAAATCCACAAGTATCAACCAGGTAACTCTCCCAGGGGGACTGGACATTGTTTATGAATTCAGGGGATATTTGGATGTGCAATTGCTTGTGACTGGTCCCTGACGATTATGAAGATGAGACTTGAACAAAGGGAGGATTTCCAGTCAGATGTCGATGCAGTGTTGGAGAAGCATGAGCACAAGCAACTATGCGCAGCCTTGGGTAGTCTTCAGTGGCTGCTGGCGAGAATGTGCTCGTGTCAGGTGAACAAGGCGATCCGTCTGTTTCAAAGACGATATCGGCTGAGTCGAGAAGATGCTCTTTTTCAGGCCTGATTCTTGTTTGAATGACGATTCAAGTTAATCCTGTGAGGCTTGGCATCACTTTGTTCGCACTGGGGATGCTATGGCTGCGCGCGTTGTCGCGATGAAGCAGGCCAGTTGTATGTTCTATGTTCTATGTTGGAAGCTGGAAGCCCAAAATCATGACATGTTCAGCATCAATCAATCACCTCAAAATCTTCCAAGTTTTACAGATCCACCATTGATGATTTTCCCAGCTCGACGCCTCCATTTCTTCTGGATTTTCGATTGCCACGTTTGATGACACCAGAGGATATCCCATTAATTATCCCATTACCCATTATTTAACCCATTGTTAAGCCAAAATTAGCCCATTATGAACCATATTTTCCTTTAGTTCCCATAATCATCCCATCATTTTCCTATATGTTTCCCAGAAACCTTCCATGTCTAGTGGATGATCCCATGATTTTCCCACCATTTTCCCGTGTTTTTGTATGGGCTTCCTTAAGTTCCCATCACCATCCCACACTTTTTCCAGACTTCTCCTACAATTTTCCCATAGTTTTCCCATGGGTTTTCCGATGTTTTCCCCATTTTTTATAGGGGAACTGTCCCATTTTTCACCAAGCCTTCCAACGTCTTCGAGGTCTCCGGCGGCCTCTTAGCGTTCGGCTCCCTGGGCCGCGCCCGCAGCTGGTTGCGCCGGAGCCGTGCGCGACGGCCCAAGGTGACACGCTGGAACCCGGCCATGGCGGCGTCGATGCCGGTGAAGACGCTTGGTACCTGGGGGTAGGCTGTGGGAAACCATGGGAAACCCATCGGAAAATGGTGATTTCACCAACAAAAATGGGGAGTTGATGGGATTTATACTGTAGCTGATTTTAGGAACCATAGGAAACCATACAGGATGGGGGCCCCCGTTGGGTAGCGTTCAGTTAGTTTTTAAGTCGCTGAATTCTATGATTTATGGTAGATATAACGAACTAGATAACTATGGTTAATGGGTTTTATAAACCAACTTATAACTGGGGGGCCCGTCCTGTAGGAAAGAGGTGATTTTCTCAAGAAAAATGAGGATTTCATGGGATTTATAGGGTGATTTCTAGGGATAAACATAAAGATATCTATCATTCAGAAATCATGGTGGATCTACCAAGTGTGGGTCATAGAATGACATAGGACCAATAGGATTTAATGGGTGTTAGTTGAATTTCACCATGAATTTAACTGGATGTTTTTTTTTTTTGTGGGATAGGACTGGACCGTTGTGAATGGGATATGAGCCTATAGGATATAAGAATCATAGTGGATATATAAAACAGGCAATGGGATGGATGATAAAAATGCGAGGTGTGTACAACCACTTCACTGGAGCCATGTTCAAATGGGAACCTGTAAAATGTCTTTGGAGAACACTTGAATGCATGGAAAATATGTTTTAACATGGACCCAGTTTCCGGGATGTAATGTTGCAATAATTGGGATGCCATCAGTAATCGCGGGGATGGAGCCATATTGAGCACTGGTTGGTTCAACTTCCAACTACCAACCACAGGTTTTTTTTTAAGACCAACAATGGTGGACCCAAAAAGATTCTTCCAATCTGGGTCCAGGGGACGTACCTAAAAAAGGGTGGTAAGTTCAATGGAGATAATGATGATCCGAACTCGCTGGAGATTCCCCAGGAAAGCTCCGACTGTTAGTTGGACAGAGAAGTTCCTTGGAATTTACGGCTGCACCAAACGAGCCCTTTACTTGGCACCCTGGTTGTGAAAGCGCGGGCTGGGGCTGGGGAGGTGCAACATCGGGGGAAAAACAACTCATGAACTGCAGATTTCAATTTTTTGGACCATGTGAACTTCAAGGGAAACGTATGTTTCTCGTGTGTGGAAAGGGAAACGGGGTGAACTTGAAAAATAACGATCGGTTTGGTGGGTCGATGTTTTTGTCGTTATTTATCATATTTATATATATATTATATATATATATATATAGCTTAGTAACCCGTTGTGGTCATATGCTGATAAATGCTTCTTAGCAACTATCCCGATGTGAAATCAAGAGGTTTGGATGGGATGTTGCCTTAGTCAGGCTAGTGCGTATGGGTATCTTAGCAAAGAGCTACCTCTGTCGAACCATTGAAAACTGGCAGGCACATGGCACTCGCCACAGATCGGAACAATACCTCACGAAATGCAAGGCACTTGTTACAGATGCACGATATCTTGGCTTATTAGAAGTTTTCAGAAAGAAGATAAGAAACCGTAGGAGTGTCCCAACATTTTTCCCAGCTCCGCCAGATCTATCATTCCCAATGAACTATTCACAATCATCCCAAACAACTAGCTGATTCATCAATTTTCATCCCATGTCATCCCACTTCGCAGTTGATTTTGATGGTTTGAGTCTGAGATGATGAATAATTATCATCCACTTCACTATTATTAATCATTAAAATAATCCAGTTCACAGTTCCCAGTTAATCAACCAGCTCTACCATCCAAAGATATTTTTCCCAGCATTTTTCCCAACATTTTCCAGTTTTGGATCTGCCATCCCCCCCAAAAAAATGCCATCTGAGGTTTGGGTCACCAGTCGATGGCTCACCTTCAGCCTGGCTCTGCTGACGCTGCTGATGGGCGCCTTACCCGGTCTGCGTGCGGCGACCACGAAACGCGTCATCGATGCGGTGGTGGCGGGGATGAACACAGGCGAACGCAGAAATGGGTAGGTCTGAAAATGGGGTATACCCCAAAATAATAAATCCGTTTAAATGAGTATAATGATGCCTGATGATTGTTAATGGTGGATTATCTGGTGGATAAAATGGTGATTGAATGGTTTAACAAAGGCTTAACATTGGTGAATAATGGAATGACAATATATGATAATGGGATATACGCTCTGGTAAACTAACAGTTTGCTATGGAAAATCACCATTTTTAATGGGTAAATCAACTATAAAGGGATATTTTCAATAGCTATGTTAAATTACCAGAGGGTATAATATGCCCTCCAAAATGGTCCGTTTGAATGGGAAAATGATGGAAAATGATAATGGACCGTGAAGATTTGAAGTATACCTTATTTTCAGACAAATCTTAAAATTCTGTTAAATGATATCGAATGAAATGAACTCCCCTATTCTCACTTGATCTTCAAAAGCTCAATTTTAAGCCACCGCAAACAGATAACTTCACTGAACACCCTAGATGCCTCCAAAAAAATCATGCTTGCGATATCTTGCGATATTTAGTCCCATTTCCCTACAGGGTGGAGCCCCCTAGATAGCCAAGTTGGCTTTGTGAACCCCATGAAAAGTATAGTTGTCTCCCCATTAACCCAACAGTTGACCAAGTTACAAACCAACGAAGCACCTCCAAATCTTCATGTTTGTGACTGTCATGCCCCCATTTTGAATGGACAAATAGCAAATAAAAACACTTAGTTCGGCAAGTTTCTATGGATTTTCCCATGTTTTTTTCCCACTAAAAACTTTCAAAATCTCTATTTCATGTTTAAAAGAAAATTAGCTATATATAAACCATTTAGATCAACAAGCTTTCCATGGATTTTGCTATGATTTTCCAATGATTTTCTTATTAAAACCTCCAACAATGTCCATTTTTCATGGAAAAATAGCTAGCTCAACATGTTTCCCCATGATTTTCCCATGAAAATCTCAATTTTTTGGATTTTCCACTTCCACCGCCCCAAACTTCCAACGGCCGCAGGCAGCGGCCACGCCGCCGTGGCGTGGCTCCTGGTGGAGGCCGCCATCGTGGTGACGCAGGCGGCGGCGCGGCGCGGCTTCGAAGTGGCCGAGAGCTTCCTGGGGACGTTGCTGGGAAACCGCGCCCTGGGCGCAAGGTGAGTCACTGGGAAGGGCTGATTTTTTTTATCTGGTGGATTTCATGGTGATTTTTGATGGTTAAAAAATTGCTTAACATTGGTGAATTTCATGGGATGATGATGGGATGATACTGGGTCAAACCATGCCATTTTTGGGTTGAAATCCCACTGATGGTGATTTTGGGGACGGTTGATGATTGTTTCAACCACATCCCAAGTATTGGATGGTTGGTGGTGTCAGACATGGCGTTTATTTTCCGAAATATATGGGATAATCCTTCCCATTGACTAATATTTTTTTCAGAGGGGTAGGTGTACCACGAACCAGTTTTTAATGAAATCATGGACGATTTCATGAACTCAGAAAATCATGGGAAAATCATTTGGATTGAACTAGATTAAGAATGATAACTATGGGGAATACAAACTATTATGTATAGAATAATAACTGAAATAATTCCATAATATTAAGTATTATATCGGGGACTTAATAGTAGTATAATATAATAACTATAATAACCATAACTTATTGTGGTTAATAATAGTTAATATTCACCAATGGTTAACAAAAAAGGCTATTATATGCTGTCATAATAGTAGATAATGGTTAATCACTAACCAACTACTACATGGTTATTACAGAGTTTATCTTTTGTTAATCATCATCATTACTGAATGATTATAGTAAATCATTATAGAATTATTAGTCTTAATTAATCTTAATTGATCAGTGTTAATCATTATTGAACTGAAGATTAATGGTTAAGAAAAAATGCTATAATGATACTTGATAATGGTGAAGAACTAACTACTACATTGTTATTAATAGTCAGACAAGTTATGATGGTTGATAATGGTTTAAGAGGCAAACAACTCCCCGAAAATCCTCTATAAATGGGATATAATGGGTTTTAAAGCTAAATTGGGGAGGTTGGGATGGGGTTATCTCATGAAATAATGGGATATAATCGTTCATGATGCTTAACATTGGGATAACAATGGGTTAGTAATGGTCAATAAAATGGAAAATATGGGAACACAATCTATAAATCCATCGTTGGGACGATGATTTCATGGGGAATTTTGGTGGAAAATCATCTATGAATGTGGATATTGCCGGGGCATAATGGGATAATATAGGATTTAACTAACCAACAATCAAACATGGTGATGAATATCCCCCTGATATCAAACACCCTGTGCTCATGTTACCCTTGTATGGTCCCAAATGTGTGTAAATACTGAACCATGGCTTCTGGGTGCTGTTTTACAGAAAGGAGAAAGGGATTAGTATTCTCTAATCAGTTTAACCAATAAGAAGATGATGACCATCAACTCCAAAACTGATATATGCATCAATCACACTAAAACAACATATTGGAATGGGGGGTTAATATATTTTAGCATGTGTTAACCATCGAATTGGGATATTTAAGATTATTTGACTCACTGACTGAGTGACTAACCAGCCAATTATCAAAATTGGATATTAATCAAACCTGGGAGAGTTAATCAACCCATTAATGGCCGGTTAAAACACTCCAGCAATGATGATATGCTGGGGATGGAATGGGACTCTGGGGGCCCCTATTTCTATAATGGCTGGTTGGAATGGCAAGGGAGTTCAACCCTTAGGATGTTGGCATGCGAAGTGGTGAACCTACTCATACACATGTTTTTCCTCTACTGTTGGGTAAATATGGCGAGCACCTTGGCGCAAGATGGATGTTTTCACGGGTTGATCAGAAATAAATATGAGCAAAAGCAATCGAATGTGGCTACATTGAAAATCCTCCATGACCCCATTCATGGATGAGTTCCCCGATAACGTGATTTGTTCAGCCAAAGTTTGAACACCAAAGATATTGCCAAACGACTTCGCTGCCAAGGTGTGAATGTCATGATCTTGCAAAAGGCCCCCGCTGTTCTGGCGTCGGATGATAATTGGGCCTGGGGTTGAAGGCGTCGATACTTAGATATAAAAAACTTACTTAATCATACTTAATCTTGTAAATCCATGTTTTCTGCAAAAAAATAGATCAAGGCATTTTCAAGAACTACACTAATCATCACTAATCACTATAATTATCTAGGCACACATACTGAACCCATCCTCTTTTCCATGATCATCCACATGCACTACTCGAGGCCTTAGATTTGCAGCTCACCGACTTCGATGCTCGGCCGTGGTGTGTACCGCCTCCCCAAGTGGTTGGTGGTTTCAGCCTACCATTGGTTGGTAATATTAATATATGGTTAATAATAAGATTGTCTTTGGGCCTAAATGACTCAATACTTCTTGGTACGGTTTGCATTTCGCATGATGATTAGTTTCATGATGGGTGCATACTTCGCCAATGACGAATCTTCATTTATGATCATGTGTGGTTATAAAACGCCGCAAGGGGCAAACAAATTTGGGGATGGTTAGTGGTTTTGCTTTGACCAGCAGACATCATCCTGCTTTCCAAAGATCAGCTGTATGCCGATGTCGGCCGGATGTGGATTTGGTGGGTTCAGATATCTTTCAATTCGATTGACTGTTCAATCCCTAAATGTTACATCTGTTACCTGGGATGTCAATCGTCTCAACCAAAAATTTTGTAGCTTAGCTGGGATGACTCAACCAAGATGGATTCATGAATGATGTGCGCGGAGAGGGTTGAAGCCATCAACCCCTTCTTCGCAGGGATCAGCCACGGTTCCGCGCTGCAAGGAAGATTCGACCTTGTACGACAAGCTGACGCGTGCTCGTCGTGAGGTGTGGTCGTTGAATGATGCCGAAAAGGTGGTCATACCATTTTGACTATCGGATCACAAAGATTTGGGGTCAGTGGATGTTTCTAACAGGAGAGCCTAAAACCATCGTATTATATCGTATTTTGCACACGCATCACATATTGTGAATGCTATCCCCAGTGCTATTTCTTAAGATTTCTCTTCTGTTTCCAATATATGTATTTCTTGATCCCAAGCAAACGCTGACAGTTTGTTGAACATGATCCCCCCCAGATGCTGTGCAACCCCTCCAACTTCCAGTCCAAGATGGGTATAGAGTAATCCAAATTCTGAATCTTTCTGAATCTTTAGATCAACGCAAGATCTAGCTCTAACTTTGCTCTCCCATTTTGCTGTCGAACAAGTTCTGATATGGGGATGCATCACAAGTAAAACCTATTGGTCCAAATGACTTGACCCATACCCCGTGGATTCCACCAGGCGAGTCAGAGACCTCTGAGTTTGGCCAAACAGTCACTGAGTTTGCTGCGAAACTCCTTGGCACTGCTGGGCTACGGAGCTTCTCGGCCTGAGATAACTGGGGCGTCGGTGGAGATGGGGGCTGAGATGTGGGGTTCAGCAACTTGTTGGGAGTTGATTTATCATTAAAATGCCATGAATTGTGATTTAATGTGTCATGAGTCATGATTCATTGTGATGTTTTACTATGAATTTATCTGAATCTATACCTGACTGACTAGACAGCCATCTCTCCTGCAAATCAATCATGTTCGGGGATTGGCATTGTGAATTAGTATCATTCAGATTGCTTATAGGATCTCCCGATCAGTATATCCCCATTAATTAATTATATGCTTACTTACTTATAGTCAATAGTCAAATCCTTGTGATATCATGTGATATCCCAACACCCATCACAACATCCTCACTTTAACCATTTTCCCGCTGTATTCACGCATTCGATCCCCGTGAACGGCGTGTTTTCCGGCCACCCCCGAGGCCCTGCTGCTGGGCTTCTCGCCCATGGCCGTGGCGGTGCTGGTCATCACCGCCATTCCGCCCTTCATCGCGGGCGTGAAGTTCGCCGGCGACGCCTTTCAGCTGGCGCGAAGGCGGCAGCTGCAGGGAATCCAAAAATGGGGGGGCACCCATCAATGGGGACATCATCTATGGTTTTTTTAGGGCCTATCATTGGGATTTATAGGGATATCATTGGGATCATGATTGGGATGTACTGTCTGGTAATTTGCTGCATAGCTATGGCTATGGAAAAATGTTGTCTTTAATAGGGAAACTTTTGGCCATTTTTCATCATTTTTCCATAGCTCATTTTTCCATAGCTCTGTTTAGCCGTCGGAGGGGTAACCATGAAAAAACATCAAGACCCCAGCTGCAAATTGGGGCATGAGAACCTTAGAGACCCCAGGGGGAGATGCTTTGATGGCCTGGGAGAAAGGTCCAAGAAGCTCAAGGTCAACCCATCGTAACCTAAGAATGAGGTGGAAGAAAAGGTTGTGGGAGACATCGACATCAAGAGGGGTTCCACCACGTTATCCCCACGTTCTACTGTCACTTTTTGGTCTTCATAGTTGGGACTTTTGGCAGGGTGTAAAGCATCACTTTTGCCTGTTGAATAGTGCTTAAACCCTCCAAAAGGATATTTTCATCTAGGAAACAAAAGGAACCCTGATGGAGGGGCCAGTAAGTAGATGGCAGGTACCACCATACTGACTACTAGTTACTTGCCAACCACTTGCTAAATGGGATAAGAACTGGGACAATAAGTGGAAAACCTTCCAAGCAACTGGTGATGTTGATGGTGTTTCCACAATCATCAACATTTGATATGCAGGCGGACGCCAAGAAACAAAAATCAGGATGTATCCGTGGTGGACTAGAACTAGATATTTTGATAGGGTTACAATTCATGAGTTGCCGGCGCCCCATTGCAGCTGGATTAATAAGGTATCATCCCAATACCAGTCCAGTTTTGTTTGTCCCTGCAACCTCCAAGTCGAGTTTGATCCCTTCCTTTTTTCTTACCTTGATAAACCATCAGTAGAAAAAGCAACCTCCCATTTGTGGGTATGCTCCAACCGCAGCAACCCCAGCAACCCACCGGTTCCAAACCCGGCTCCTTGTCCGCGGAAGTTCGAGGCAAACCTCCGGATTTCGGGAGCAGATCTACCTGGAACGGGTCATGGCCATGGACGCGCCCGCCAAAGAGGTGCCCCACGGGAGATGACGAGTGGCCTGCACCAGATGGTCCAATCGTGCTGGATTTACGTGTTTTTTTCTGGACTTTGATATGGTTCAGCATGTTTTAAACCGCGTTACTGTGCTGTAAGAATCTTTAATGTGGTTTAATGGCGTTTATCGCAACTTCAGAGTAGTGGCACAAGGGTCTCAAAGTTGTCTTGGGTCTTGATTGTGATCCAACATCATGAACTTCTGCAGCAGTATGGTATGGGGATCTCCCTTCTTGGTCATAACCCGATTTGCTGACCATACCCCTCATCTTTCCCTGCATCGTTCCCATTTTTGGCATATACCATTCCCAATAATCTCCCAGTTGCAGGAATTTTGACCTGCCAAGATCACCCAAGTCCCATCTCTCCCAGAGACATCCAATCAATATCAGAATGACATATGAGACTTGGGTCATCCAATATCCAATAGACATATCAATATATATAATCTCCCATTTCTATTGGATATTGGATATGGATATCCCAGTTTTACAGCTATCAATTGGATATCTTCCATTTCTCACTCAAAAAGACTGGGATCTCCCAACTTTTTACGGGCGCCATATGATCCACCAGCCCATCTAAGATCCACCCAGATGCCGATCCCAGGTGAAGCTTTTTGGGTTGGGCCCGTGGCTTCTGAAACGTTACCGCGGCATCTTTGACGCTGGGCGCTGATGGTGGCATGGGAACAACACCAGTGGGGAATCAATCAGAAATCTGTGCCATGTTCTGCCATGTTTCTCCATTTTTCCAGGAGCCTGAAGCAAATGCTAGATGAAGTCCCCAAACGGTTGGCCAATAGAAATGGCTGTGTTTCTTCTTGCATGACTTATGACTTTCACATGCCATGACATAAATTCTCCGTGTTGTGAAAACAGAACGGAGCAGCGACCAGGAAAAAAACACCCTTGAGGTGGAAAAAAAACCTGGCCGATGCTCAAAACCAGAGCCACTCATGGACCCAGGCCCCGCTGCACAAACCCCAGAGGCCAAGAGAAGAAAAATTAAGAGGCATGCAGGCCAAATGCCCGACACAGCTTGGCCGAGTCAGGGCCAACCAAAGATGGTCGGAAAAAGCAAGGATGCCTCTCACTGCCTCAGCAAAAAGCGGCCCTCACGCAAGGGTCGAAGACAACGAAGACCAGAAGAGATAGACGTGGCCATCCCAGCCGGAGTCCGGCAAGCCATCCGCACAACGACCAAAGCTCAAGCAACGAGCTCAGCACGGCGCCGCAGCGCAGCACGGCCCCTCCAGCTACGCACCAGCACGCAGGTTTCCTGCAACAAGGTGGGCCCGCCTGCGCCGCCTCCAGCAGCGCGGCTGATGTGAGCCAAGGCTTGGGCCGCCTCCGGCGCCCAAGCGCCCGTGGTTTCAATCACCATGGGGAGGAAGGTCACGTGCTGGGCTGCGCATGCATCAGCTGTGTCCAGGTGCCGGCGCTTGTAAGCACCATATGCCTCCGCAGCAGAAGTGTTTCCTGAACCACCAAGGGCGTCCAACCGCTGGGGTGCCGTGACGGCAAAGTCAAGTGCAGTTGGGCGTCCAAGGAAGGACGGGAGAAACACATCCGCAGGGCGGCGTCGGGCACTGGCCGCATCATCAGGTCGTTGTGGGAGAAGCAGGCCAGCCTTCTCACGCTCAGGGCGAAGACATCCTCGTTCGGCCCAACTGTGAACCAGGTCACGAAGGGCGTTGTGGCGAAGTGTACGCGTGTAGGGTAGCCACCTCCAGCCAAGCCATTTTGGGGTTCGAAGTTGGGTCCCAGACACCATCTCAGCTGATCGGCAGCCCATGGAGACTGCAGAGAGCGGGTCAGAGGAGACTTTCAAGATCACAGACTTGATAACCTACGAGTATGATTCCGAGGCCTGTAGCCCGGGTGCGAGGGTTTGCACTTGCACATCTGAAGTACCTGATGTATTTTCATGTTTTCATTCATATTATATGCAGTTGCTGTTCCACACAAAAGACCATAGATGAGCAGGGTGCGCAATGGAGGGGAGAATAGAAAACGTCATGCAATTTCGTGTGGGAAAAACCCTCCTCAGCATGGGATGGGCCCTATTGGGTGCGGCTGCATACTGCAAAGCTTTGCACAATGAATAGCTGCTGCCGGACATGGCGCCGTGCCTGCAGGATGTCCGGAGACCAACAGGAATCAACATCTTTCAGCTCTGCAAGGCGCTACTGGATGGTCATGCAGAGAAGTTGAGCGAAAAGGTCCTGTTACACGATGGTCCTGTGCACCTCTTTGATGTTTGCTTGCAACACGATTGTTGGAGCATAGCTTGCGAAATGGCGAGCCGTGGTGTTGAAGGATGTGAACTGCAGATGCAGCACCTTGACCCGTTTGACGAATTTCATTCATCATCCGACTGGCCAAGCAGGTGCACGTGCACGGGTTGGAATGAGTGCAAGTCGTACTGCTGCTGGGGGTTTCCAGTGCATCAAGGCACATGGATGCCTGACTTTGATGTGGGGATTTGGGGAGCTTGTGAAGCAGCCAGCAAGGCAGTGGGACGAACCTGGGTGGGCCAATGCCTGCGCATGGCCAGCTCGGGAGAAAAGTTGCCTTTGGCAGTGTCGGATGGAGCGATGGCACGTTTGTTGGACATAGCTATTCTGACGGGGAATCAAAAGGCAGCTACAGAGCTAGCCGCGAAGTGCAAAGTTCTTCCCCTGCGGCGATGGAGGTCGGAGGATTTTATCTCCCGCTGTGGAGAGATGTTCGGCCTTCAGGATGTTCTCGTGGCGGCACTTGCCGCTGGTAAGCCAGTGCCAGGGCATTTGGGTATTTCATTTGCATTTGGTGCTTTCACTGTGGCCCTGGCATGCCAAAAGCTCCTATTATTACGGTGCTACTTAAGGCCATCAGGAAGTTATCAGCCGTATGGAAAGTTCCAGCCGAGATGCCCTTGCAAATGCCTGGGTCTTCATTTCAAGTGGTGCAAGTATTTACTGCCATCAGAGGTTATCAGCCGTATGGAAAGTCCTAGCCAAGATGCCCTTGCAAGCCTTGCCATCAAGGTGCAGTTATCCTTTTTTTTACTCAGGTTGACTACTACCATTTAGACATTAAATATCTTGAGCCTATAGGAACATTATATATTATATATTATATATTATATATTAGTTCTGCCTCATGATTTCTGTCACCTGTCACCTGTCATATAGCCTCGTGATTTCAATCTCTGTCACCTGTCAAGTATCCGTTCCCTGTCCCCTGAGCTGTCAGTTTCCCGTAGACGATTTTTTTCGTTTTCGCAGAAAACTGTGACAGAAGACTGTGACACCCAAGGTTTGCACCTGAGAACAAGCAAGGCGCAAAAAATTCCACTAGACAGGAGACAGTTGGCTGAGAAGAAGACTGTCAGATGTAGCCCGAAACCTGCGCAAGAAAATGGTTCATCATCGAAGGAACAAAAAACAACATGACACTAGGAGCTGTGAGGTTTACAGCAACTTTATTTCCAACTAGGAGCTCCAAGAAAATGCTGCTGCAGCTTTACACTTTGTTTCCAGCAACTCACTGCAAGTCTTGCTCCACTTCAATGCCATTCTGTCGCATGACGACACATTCTGCATCATCTTCGACATCTGCTGCATCATGATGTGAACCATCTGTTTGAACAATGCGGATTGGTCGCGGAGCGGTCTGCCGAAAAGGGTTCAGGTTGACAGGGACAGGTGACTGTGACTGATATGCACTTTGCTGCAAAAATGAATACTGCGCTGGATGCGGTTCTCGTCTCAATGTCCCAGTGATCCATCCAGTCAAGAAGGCGTGGGCCTTCTGGCTGATAGCTTGCCTCAGTCAACTGTCAGTTCTCTCTAAAAAAATCTGTCAACTGTCAACTGTCAACTGTCAGTTATTCTTTTTGTGACAAAGAAAAAAACAAGACAAAACAAGTTCAAGATGCTTTGCAAATGCAGCATCTGCCTTCACTTTCACTTCATTGCGAATCTTCCAAGCTACATGCCTCCGAGGGTGCTCTCCAGAAGGCTGCCATGTGAGCCGTGAAATAAGCCCTGGCAAGGACTCTGCTCGGATTGCCACCTCTGCTTGAAAGGGCTTTGGTGAAGACTCAAACATATGACATAACAGCAGAATGTCTTCTGGATGGCCTGGGGCAAATTCATATTGAAGGCTGTCTAAGTCTTTCATTGACAGCATTTTTCGCTTCAAGATCCTGAAGAGGTGTGGAGCCTTGGGGCCTGTCAGGCCAGTCAGGGTGACTGGTATCTCTTCCAGCCACTTGTCCCACTCTGGGCTTGAATCGTGCTTCCATGCTTTCCGGAAGTAGCAAGATGTTTCCAATGAAGCATCATCCAAAAAACGTTGATACACCTCGACCAATTCCTGGGCCGTCTCAAAAGTTTCATGACTGCATCTTGTCACTGCCTGGCCACCCACTGCGTCCAAGCATGTGTGTGTGTGCCCTTCTATCGGAAAACCGATATTGCAAGTGTCAATGACACCCAGTGCAGTCAATTTCAACCAGAAGCGAAGCATCTTTTAGTTTTTGTTGTCCCGAGCGGTGTTGTCTAATAACAGAAATACCTGTCGGGGTATCCCTGTGATGTCATGCACCCACGACAAACACCTCGCCAGTGCATCCACATGGTTGCAGGTGTCTTTGCAAACATCGGGGTCTCCCACTGACAGGCTGAAGCCATGACCATGAACCCAAATAAGTTGTACATGGCAAGCTGGGCGAATAAGTTCATCAAATGTTTTGGACTTGACATGAGCCCTGGGAACTTTATGTTTGGCTTGGTCCAAGCCGTCTGACCTGATGACAAGGACAGATGACGGATGACTTCGAACATTGGATGAGACACTCAATGCTCTTGTTTCAAAAGCCAATGCTGTCCATGCACTGTCAGCAGCTCTGTCACGCCAGTTCTGCAAGAGGTGCTCCGCGTATTCCTGGATGAGTCTGTTCCGCAAATGAAGGGCCTTCACCCTTTTCAGCTCACGTTTGAACCAAGCGCATTGGTCACAAACTGCATGTTGCCCTGAGGATTTTCGAAAAGCCAAAAATTGTTTGGATCCTTGAAGCGCACGTCGGAAAGTGGTAAAAGATGGTGCTTTCTTTCCGGCATAATTCTCCTTGTGCCACCGTAACATCATCTCAAACAAGATCTGGGGCTTCACCACGCCAAGCCATCTGCGCGGGGCTGCTCCAGCTCCTGGGCCTGTCAGTGAATTGTTGAAAGGGGTGTCTGTGAGTAGCTGCCTGAGAGACAAAGTTGCCAGCTTCCGTGCATCCTGCTCATCCCATTGAGCCTGTGACATGCTTGAAGCTGAATCCGAAGATCCATAAACTTGGCCGAAGATCCACTCTTCTCGCTCAGCTGTTTCAATGAGATTCTCTTTGTCTTCGTGGGCTGCTGCTTGATCAGTCGCCAACGCAGCCACGTCTGGAAGCATGGTGACATTCCAAGCCATAGGCCATTGCTTGATGCACATCTTGATCTGTCCGTCAAGGGCCTAGATTCAAATAACTCAGAGATTCTACAAGTCCAATGGATACAAAGAACAAACCTTGATGCGAGCAAGTGGCATCACCTTTGAGCACTGCATCCTTGACATTCTCAAAGTCAGTGGACTTCAGGTCAGCGGAGCAGCAGTCTGCAATGCCACGGGTCCATGATG